GAATGGAGTTAATAGAAATTTTCTGGATGAAACTGTTTTTTATAGAAAAAAATGTTCATTTAAGATAGTAACTGGAAAGATTTCCCGTTTTGATACAGGGAAAATGATAATTTTTAGCCTTTCCAGTTGAAAAATTTTTAAAGAAAAATAAAAACAAACCAGAAAAAAACACCAAACAAACCAACAACAACAACAAAAAAATCTCCTGAAAAAACAAACAAATGAACGAAACCACTCATCAATATTCCAGCAATAGAACATCCAAGTAAACTGAGGAAAGAGATTGATTGGCTGGGGTGAAAAACAGTAGGTCAAAGGAAGTCCTATATTATAGAAGGATTGGTTAATTCAGGTAGTGATGAAAGTGATAACTAGAACAGGGTGATCTTGAAAAGCATAAATGAAGCACATTAAAACAACTAAAAAAACTGTTATCTCTGTACATGACAATACAACTTTTAATAATTAATAAGCCAGAGCCTCATTATTTGGGTAAAAAAGTTTGGTATTTTGTCTTTTTTGACATTAAGTACTACTTTTAAATGTTAGTTGAATTTACATAGGCTGGGATGATTTCTATGAAATGTGCCTAGTTACCAACCTAAGTGGCCTTTAGATGTGCAATCCCACGTTTGGCTCAAACATGGACTGTTGTCAGAAATTGAATACTTTTTTTCTTTTAACGTTTGCTTCAGTCCAATATGTTGTAATTTCTAATAGGCTTATAAAAAAAAAGCAGAGTAAGATGTTACCCAATAGCTTACACTGCAAAAAATCAACCATGCCTTAATAGTTTGTTTTCTGTTAGATCTTTGTCCTTGCTCTTACTGAAAGCCCATTTGTAACCTCCTGCTTCTGAGGGAGAAGTGTGCTCATGCTTCAGCTGGCTGGGGGTGCCTTCTCCTGCTCCTGTGCAAGCTGCAATGTGGAGCTGCATCTGACACACCTTTCCCAGGTGTCCAGGGAGATGCAAACAGAATCATTTCAGTTTTGGCAAGACATAGCATCATAGTTTATTTTCAATTACAGATCAAGTCCTAGTTCTAAATGTGATTTTCTTGGTTTTTCTTTATATATATTACAAACTTTTTAATCTAAATTTCCTATCTATATTTATCCTGCAAGCAAGGTCAAAGAAGGCTGTGTGGATTTTTTTTTTTATAGAAAGTATGGCTTTAAATAGTTACTTTCCTTCTTGAAAAATCTGATTTTAGACTTAAGGGACAGCACTGTGAGTCAACACTACAAAAATTTCCTTTAGACCCCTGGGAATATTTGGAATTCAGCAAATGGCAGTTAGTAGCTGTTCAGGACATGCTCAATATTAGGTTAAATGACTCATTCCTGGATAAAAAAATAACTGGAATTTGTGCTAATGTAGCCCTTCTTCCTGCTACATATGAAATTATGCAGGATTTCAGGTTTATTCTTCCTGCCTGGATTAGTCTAGTAGTATGTATTTATTTTTTATAAATTTCTTTTCCAGAAATTCAGGATTTGATGTATTTTCCTAAGTATGAAGTGAAAAAAGAATTATTAAAGAAAAGTTGAGGGACTTGGTAAGTGATAATTTTATATTAATCTGTACAATATTTTGTAGGAACTAGTTTCAGTAATTTGCTTAAACCATGAGAAGCAATCTAAAATAAACATATTTTTATTTTAATAAATAGGAAGTCCTTTAAAAAGTGTTGAATTGTAATTTCTTCTCTTTAGAAATGATCCTGTCATAATGTTATAGAGACAGCCTACACTACTGTTGAGCTTTATAAAGATTTTTTTCTCTCTTGAATGTTTATGATCATCTTGTGTAGCTTAGCACACAGATTGCACTGGATTTTTATTTTCAGAACCACAAGTCAGAACCACTAAAATGTAATTACTTTATCTTGAAAAGATTCTTTGTGGCTACTTGATGAATCCTCTTCTGAATACCAGTACATCTTCTCATAACCCATCAGAGCTGCACAAAGTGTACAAAACACGTTGTGTTTCTTTTTCATTGCGCATGACAAAAGTTGAGTTTGTTACAGTTGGTTGCAAAGTGGAGAGATTGCCATGGTTCACTAAGGCCTGGGCCTGCAAGCACTTTTGTTCATGTTTAACTTTGGCGAGTTACATGGGCAAGCACATGGATATGCGTGTGCGCAGTTAGCACTTCTAGTTACGTAAAACTCCACAGCCCCTAGCTGTGAGGCTGTGCCTGTGAGACAAGTCAGAATCAACAACAGAGCAGCTTTTAATCACTTTGTCACTTGGGCATCTGAGAACTCAGTTTCAGTTTGTGCAAGACTTTCAAAATTATTTGTTTGGGGTTTTTTTTTTGTAAAATTAAAATCCCCCAAGCGTGAATTTCTGTGTAACTGTATAAAAATATACTCTAATGAAAAGTCTTAAAAGGAGACTTTCATAGGAAAATAAAATAAAATAGTTTTGTCCTTCAGATAATTCCCTCTAATGTGGCCAACTGCTTCCTGGCAGGAAGAGAATTCCTGATCAACTTTTTAATGCAAAGAATGTGCTACAAAAGTCCTTGGGGTACGTAAAGCAGAGACCTCTTGGATGAGGCTGTTTAGATTCATCCAAGTGATGTAGTTTCTAAGGAGCAGAAAAGTCTCTAAAGTCAGAACTTAATGTTGTTGGTCCAAACACAGCTGGATTTGTAACTGGAAGGAAACTGGGAGCCACAAAGTGGATCTACCACAGCTCTTTCCTGGAGAGAAACAGCAATCTCCTCTGATAGAGAAGCTGGGTATACTACACAGGAAGCTGCCTCCAGACATCACTGTCTGCTCAGTCTTGCCCAAAGAGCAGCACGTCTGATGAGCATCCTTCACTGATCCCCACTAGACCCAGCCCTTTATGATCATCTCTCTCATGCTGCTTTGTCACACACCCTCAGCCACACAGATACACCTCTCAGCTGAATCCACAAAAATGACCTTTCCCGGGTGGCAACATGTTAGTTTTAAGCATGTGTTACTGAAAACACACCCAAAACTATGCCTGAGTGTCTGTCCATGGGACCTTTGATCCAAACACTGCGTAATGGGGATGTACTGATCTACCCCCAGTGCTCTAGGTCGAGGTGGCACAGATAAAAAAAGTAAACCAGAAATAAAGTAAACCACTTTATTTCACAGCCAGAGTGCTCTCTGCCTCTTGACTGCGAGTCAGGAGGGGCCTAGGTTTGAGTGCCTTTAGCTTCTGTGTGCTACTGTTCTCAGGATTAAGTTTTAGAAAGTTAGATAAACCAAAGCAGCCCAGTCCTGTCATTGTAATGATCCGTAAGTGTGGTGGTGCTACCAGGGATGAATTGTTATCACAGATAGGAGATAAGCAGCAAAGGGCAAAAATATAAGAGGCAAAGATAAGAGGCAAAGGGCAAAAAACGATGCACAGGAAGTTAGCTAAATACGAGGAAGAAATTCTTTACTGTGCAGGTGACCAGAGCACTGTCAGAGATTGCTCAGAGAGATTCAGAGTTTTCTTCACTGGAGACATTCAAAAACCATCTGACTAATTCTTGAGTCAGTCATGGACTCGTTAGAGAGTGCTAGTTTGATAAAAAAAAGATATTGCCTAGATGTTGTCACAGGTCAGAGTGATGTTCCTTAAAAGTGATTGTCATGCATTTCTGCACAAGAAACCTAACCTGTAGCGTAACTTCTTGTTCTATCTTCTGACTGTGTATTAACTGTGAAAGAGATAAAGTTCATCTTTAACAAGGATGAGGTCAACATGAGAAGAAGCATTAGCATGGTCATCAGCAGACCTTCAGCAAAAAAGACCTTTTCTCTTCATATGTTTTTGCCCGTCAGAAGATAATTGGCTTGGGTAACGTAAGCTGGACTCCTGGTCTTGAAACACATCCCATCCTTGTGAAGCAAACTTTCTTGGATGCATTTCTCCTTGGATGAGTTGAGGAAAGCTTGTATTCTTCCCTTCTGTGTGGCTGCAGGAAGTCGGGCTGTTCATAAAGCAATAAATGCTCTGCTTCTGGAGCATTGGCAGACTTTACACTAAGGGAAAAGTAAAAGCTGAGAGAAAGTTGCAGCTGGCTGCTACACAATGTGGTTTTCTACCTATTTTCCTAGGAAAGATCTTTTAATGATGAGAAGCATAGCACTTTTCTCTGCAAGGTTTATGTTATGTTAGCTGAACAAAAATAAAGTGATTGAAACATGAGTGTTTAGAAGGAAACAATATGATGTGAACAATACTGGCTGGAAATACTACTACATGTTTAGATTGGGGTTGTCTGCCATTGGAAGTAATAAAAATAGAGCTGTAAATTATACATTGGGGTTTAGTTTATTCTGGAAGCTAATTTTTAAGAAATTCAGATTTATTTATTGGTTGTGTCACGGGAACGTTTGACTTGTTCCAAGTCCAGTCTTCAGCATTTTTAATTTCAAGCCATATAAAAGAGAAGATCATCTATGGTACATCTACCCCAGTTCAACAGAATGGGCTCTAACCCATTTCTGTAAATATACTGCCTTCTGTGTTCCTTCTAGCCACAGCAATACTTTCAAAATTACATACATTATTCTAAAATGTACTCAGGTCTCAAAACATCGCAAAGCATCTTTCAATATGCTTCAAAACCAGTTTGCTTTTCACAAGGGCAATGGAAGAGTATTACAGTGGGATTTCCCCATGTATTTCCTTCAGGATGTGTAACTAGTTTCCCTGACATAGGCATTTTAAATGCAGGGAATGGCATTCTAGTTGGGTTTTGTGCACTGAAAACGTGAAGAGTGGATATGATTTATCTGAACGCCAGCGAGATTCCCTCCTTCCCTCCCTGCCTCGCTGGGCAAATAGCTAGCCAGCGAGCAGCCCTCCAATCAGCCAAGCCTCCCCACCCACTCTGGGGGCTCCCACACCGCGTGCAGCTGGCTTTTAAAGCAAGTCTTTTAATAAAATCACCTTAACTCATTACTCTTCTATTTATGACAGCAGGAGTTCGGGACTGAGTAAGAAGAGCAGAAGTTTGCCCAGCAGAAGTTGCTCTGAATCAGGTTAGTAATGAAGTTTACTGCTGAAAGAAGCAACCTGAGAGCAGCCTAGGTTATCTTAGGGAACCTTGCCTTTAACATATGTGCTGTTTGAGTAGCAAGAGCTGTGGTATGCAGTTTGTTTACATTACAGCATTATTCTGTCTTTGGTAAAGATTCTGTATTTATATATAGAAGATGCAGTTATATTTTCCTTCCCAGTCTGCCCAGAAGGTGTTTCTGCTTTTTAAATGATAAAACTCGCTTTGCTTTTCCCTTTTATGCATCTTATATTTCTGTTACAGGTGCTGCTTTCCAGTTTTATGGTTTATTATTGAAATACGATACTTTAAATATTTCAAGCCGTTAGGAGTTTTGTCAAAGGCTTGAGCACCACATGAATTTTTAGGACACTTGCAGTAAAATAACGTATTGCCTGTGCATGTGTGTACACACACACAAATCATAGATTATACCTGGTTTTGCTTCATCTCTGTATTCTTTTACTTGCATTATTTCACAAGACCTTACTTTCATATATTATTGCACAAGACCTAATAAATGTAGTACTGCAATTTTGAATAATGCTACATGTAGCATTAATTAAAAATGCATAAACTTTTACAGGTTTTTTAGGAGAAATTAGGCTGAAAAAATATGCTAAATTAATCTGTATTAAGCAGTATATATTTATATTTTCCCATTTTCTATATGTTACAAACTTATTGGAGTATTTTATCCTTAATTAGTATGCTGTTTAACATGTTTAACTACTGCATCTAAAATTAATAGTATATTATATAATACTAGCTCAACAGAATAGTTTTGAGTAAAACATCCTTATTTTATTTTGGCTTCAAAAATCATTAGACATAAATCTCAACATTACTAAAACTTTCAGAGGTTTCATATTGCTCTATAACATTTGCTTTCCATATGCAATTTTTATGGTTTTTTATTAAAATTTTTAATGGAAAAATTTATGGGAAAAGTTGAGTGGCAACTGCAGCAAAACTTTGGATTTTCCCATGTGTAGCTTGGGTTTAACGTGTACTAACTTAAACCATGTATGAGACAATCAAATTAAAATTTTATTTTAATGGAAATAAAATTATTGGCACATGATGGAAGTTACCTTTTTTGCTCCAATATCCAAATATTTTTTGATTTTTCTGTGGAATAGGAGGTTAGATCAGATTATTTTTTACATGAAAAATACTTTGCAGAAATGGTAAATTTTGTATGACTTTGGAGCAGTCAAAGCAGGTTTAAATATTAATATAATCTTTTCAGGTAGAGACTTTGTCCCTTGTTTTTTTAGTTACACATTTTTTGACACCAAACATTTCCTGACAGAAGAGGGCTGACAACAGATGATGATTAAATGTTCCTGATCATCCACCTGAACAAAGAGCTGATATGAATTGTAAGGCTGAACTCATCTTCTTGGACTGGCATTCCAAGAAGATGAGTTCGGACAAGCATCAAAATTACCTGGTTTACAATTGACCAGGAGAGGCTGAAATTAAGATGATTTTATCAGCATATACTGTAGAGAAAAAAAATTACCCAAGACAATAAAGAACAAAAGGGTTTGGAGAAATACCTGCCTATTCAGGTACTCTGACAAATACTATGAAAGTCCACTAGACATAAGAAAGTTTTGTTTTGTTTTATCTTCTCCCTGTTAGATAAATCTGTCAAGTTCCTTTCCTATCTAAATTATGTCCTACTCTCCTCCTTGCTGCATCTTTGCTGAAGGTGGTTGAAGGGGTCAAACTAATCTGTAGTGTGGATAGTTTAGCAGTTTTCTCTAGGAATTCCTTCAAGGAAGAAGGAGGTTTCCATAAAGACTGGTCATTGGTCCTCAAGGCTAAGGCAGTTGAACTGAGCCTTGCCTTTTTTGAAGGGCTGTTGGAGGTGTATTCGGTGTTTATAGCGTAACCCGTAGCTAAATTAAAACTTGGTCCAAAGAGCCTTCAGGAGCTGGTGACCCAGCAGATGGGAGCCAAAGAGCTGCCATCTCGGCTGTGTGCAGCAGCAGGAGCATGCCAGCGTCAGTAACAAACAGACTTCACCGCTCTGTGAAGTGTAACAAAGTGAAACTTGCTGTGCTTGTGGCGCAGCGCTCTCTGCAAAGCAGACTTCAAAGAGGAGCCTTGCGCAGTTTGGATTGCATGAGACACTAATCAGGTCGTCTCCACATTTTAATTAGAAATAACTGTTACTGAGAATTAGAATACTGTTGGTGAGTTCAAGGGGTTTTTCCTTTGTGATTTCTTATCACTCATTGCCTATGTTTAAACTCTGTATAAGGTGAGGATTCAATATTTTTTCTGTTTAAACTGCATGAACAGCACAGCCCACCTTGACTGGTGGTCCTTGCAGCCTACATGCCTAACATTGCTGTTCAAAGGCAGGCAGGTATCCAACTCTGCTCCAAGAAATGTAGGACAGGTGCACCAGAGATGCCTCAGAAGTACTCACTTCCTCCTTGATTGATGACCCAGTGTAGTTATCAAAAACCCCCTTTCCCAAGCTGTCAAATGTGCCTTCCCAGGAAGGCTCAGAGCAGAGCCAGTGCATTGAATATGCAGCACATTTAGCAGGGGCCCAGGCCAGCACTGGCAGAGCTTACATCAGTAGAGGCCAAGATGAAGCAGAGCCCACAGTTGTGTGCTAGGATGAGGCACAGTGAGGCTGCAGCAGGGAAAGGAGGAAGAATCAAGGAGGAGATAGGAAAATACTGAAACCTGCTAGTCAAAAAGTAGGAGAGATAATTTTTAATATGCTCATTTACCCTAGTTCATTTTTCTCTCTGCCATAAAGATCAGCAGAGAAGAAAAGTGCTATTTGTCCAACTCAGAAAGATCTGTAGGTCTGCAGGAATAAGACCCCGTATAAGAAGAGCGTGTGGTGACAGTCAGTATAAGCTTGTCTAGGACAATGCTGCCACCAAAAGGCACACCCAGCTGTTACCTTCTTTGCTCCTGTAGGTTTGTATTTTAGCATGAGATGTCTCTGCCTCGGTGTTCTGATAAACTGCTTGTGAGTCAGCACACATCAGCAGCGAGCCATTGCTCAGGCTGTTCTCTTGCAGGAGTAATGCATTAAAGGATCTGCTTTACAAGAGACACCTCAGAAAAACATTACACTTGTCAGTTATTTCTGAGGACACTTGTCTCCTTGTAGCTATGTCATTTGGTCCTGTGTGAAACCAAATATCTTTGTAAGATATTCATCAGTTCTTCCTGCTGCACTGTCTTATCAAGTATGAAGTCTTGGAATGTCTCAGCCAAATCTGAAAGGGGGCCATGCCTGAGGTACAGTGCTGGTCTTGGCACACAGCAACAGAAGTTGTGAAGCAGGGTTCAGGCATTTTTTGCTATGAATTTAGGCATACTAAGTGTAGGAAACTGTGGAAGATGTGCTGGATTCCACTGGTTGTTGTAAAAGGACATGTGTTTGTTAAATCCATGTTAGGATGGATATACTTAGAAAGAGAAGTTTGCCATGCACAAGGTGTTTTTTTTTTCCTCTACTGACACAAAGTTTGTATACTGAACTTTGTCTTTGTTTGTGCTCCAGTTTCTAAAGGCTGAAGAAGAAAGGCTGATCTTTCTGTCAGATGAGGTGTCTACTGGCTTGTGACTAGCAAGAACTAGCCTCCTTCCTTTCCCCAAGAAGCAGAAATCAGAAGCAGAAAAACTCCTCCTATTTTGCCATAGAGATTCCTTCTCAGCAGAGAAAAGCATAATATCCAGAGGTATTAGCATGTAATAGCAGAGATAACCATAATATAATATCACTTACTGGCCACTGGCCACTGCAGTAAATGGCTGTACAATTTTCAGGACTTCTTGTCCCAAATGGCAGAGAAGCAAAACAAGCTGAAATGCCATTTGAGTAACAACAAATTCCTTAGTGGTCTGAGAACAAGATCTGCCAGAATATTTCTTCATGTTAATGACTTACAAAATTAAATATTATCTAGTGGGGAGGGAGAAATAATTCCTTAAAAAATGCTATGTTTCTGCAACATTGAAATTGCTAAGGTGAAGGGCATGGAGTCACAAGAGTGGCCTCAGAATATTTGTCCAAGTACAGCCCAGGAGAAATAAACCTGGCTCTGTGGGAGTGGAGTGCCTCAGCCTCAGGCCCAAAGAAAGGCTGCTCTCCCTGAAGAGCTCAGGAGACACAGCAGGGAATTTTGCCTGAACAGTTCAATGCTAATTCCCTTAGAAGATGTGGATGTCGGCTGACATGAATATCATTGGAGTTCTGTAACTGGTGAGGTTTTCATAGTGGGTGAGTCTGCGTACCATGGGCAGATTCTTGTCTCTGGTGTGATGAAAGGACTGCCTAATTGCAGTAGAGCTTTCGAAACGTGCCTGTCTGCCTCCTCCCACTGTCCTGGACCACCTATCACTTTTCTAAGGGGATTAAGCATCACTATCCACAGCAATTCAATTCCATTCACTACCCTTTGTCAAATTCCCTTTACTTAAAAGGGAATAGAGACCTTTTTTCTAAGGGTGCTCTTTGAAGGCAGGAGTGGCATGTTTGAATGTTCTTGGGGAGCTATTACACATATACGGTGAAAATGTTCTTTCTCTTCTCTGGTGATTTTTTTTCCCCAAGCAATCTTTTATAGAGATGGCAGAGTTCCTGGTACTCTCTGCTTCTGACTCTCTGTTTTAGGATCAAGCAGTGTTAATTGAGCTATCCATCTTCATACGAAATCCTCGCTGTTACTGGATTGAGCTAGTGTGAGTAGAAATGTCCTTTACTGTTCTAGGAAACTGATACAGACGAGGAAGAAATAAACCAGCAGAATATCTTTGTCTAAATTAAATAGATTTTCAGTTCCCAGGAGGGTTCCACTTAACAAATCATGAGCAGAGTATAGATATTTCTGGTATGAGTTGCAAAGACAAACATCAGTTTGGGAAGATGACAGATGGTCATACCAAGGTCTTAGCCATCAACGATACAATTCAAACAAATACATGAAGATAGAACTTGTACATTAGTATTGCCTCTTTAAAATATTATTTTCTATGGGATGCCCGTGGCATCCCTCCTAAGCAAATGCTTTGGACCCTCAGTGACCATTTGTTTTAGTTGGGAAGCTGGATCACTGCTGCTCCTAGCAGGCACCCATATCACAAGCCAGAGAGGCACTGCCCACCTGCTGGCCTCCAGGACCGGGTTGGTCACAGAGTTCGAGCTTGTGCGCTAGAGCTGATCACATCCCCCCACTGTGACGGGCACTGAGAATATTGAAGAACTGCAGCTGGCATGGGATGAACGGTTAGCCCATCAGGTTTTGTTAGATGATTGTTGGGCAGAGGTGTGGAAGATTTCTTGTAAGGATAATCAGATCTGAGAAACTTCAATGGTATGTGAGAGAGTAGAAACACTATTTTAATCTGCTTCCAAGCAGTTCTTACTGAAGCAAATTCTAAATGCAAAAGCTATGTATTTGAAGACAAAAGGATATTGAATTGGTGGTCTCAGAATAATGTATTTTAAACTTTTGCTGTTTATAGTCTTAGTCTTAGATCCCAAAACACCTTATTTATGTTGTTGATCCTTATCTTAAAAGGCTCTATGATATACGAGATAATAGTCTGTTTCTGTTTTAGAAGTGGTTAAGAAGTGGCCATTAGCAGATAATTACAAACCATTTCTTCTTTTTTACAGCAATGTAATAAACTGAAGGATAATGGATCTCCTTCCTTGGGGACATAAGTGCTACATATAATTAGGAATAGTTTATCCCTGATTTGTATCCTGGGGAAAAAGCACCTGCCATCTTATCTGATGTCACAAAACAGTGTGAATATATTAGTTAGTAGATGTGATTAAAGTTCTTCATGCAAATACTTTTTCCCATTGTTTTTCGCCAGAGTCTGCACTACCTTTTGCATTCTGGAATAATTTCCTTTATTTCAGAGCTCTACATCCACCATGTTGCCCTGTGGAACGGCTCTGTCCTTTATTCGGTGTCTGGTGCGGAAGAAGAACATTGGCGGCGAAAGTCTCGAGGACACCAAGCTGTGCCGATGCTTATCAACAGTGGACCTGATAGCCCTGGGAGTAGGGAGTACCCTTGGTGCTGGTGTTTATGTGCTTGCTGGAGAAGTGGCCAAATCTGATTCTGGACCTAGCATCATTGTTTCTTTCTTCATTGCTGCCGTCGCATCTGTGATGGCAGGTCTCTGCTACGCCGAGTTTGGCGCTCGTGTCCCCAAGACTGGTTCTGCGTATTTGTACACTTACGTTACAGTAGGTGAACTGTGGGCCTTTATCACTGGCTGGAACCTGGTTTTATCCTATATCATAGGTAAGCTAAAGAGCAAACACCGCTCCCAGGGGTTTCTGAGACAGCAGATTAAAGATACAGACTTAGGGCTCTTTTTCTTTTCTGTCTCTACACTTAGCTGCTCTTTCTTTTTAGTCTTGTTGAGATGAAATAACCAAAATAATTTGATTAGGTTATTTCCTTCTGTGCATCACCATTGCAAGCAGGTTTTTTGCAAGATATTTTTGTAACAGTGTGACGTATGAACCACATACTTTGTATGAAGATTGTGTCAGACAATTCTGTGATGATGCACAAGAATAAACAAGATTTATTTGCCATCTTTGGTCAGCAAAAATAATTTCAGTAAAACCAATAAACTTTTTTTTTTTTTATATATACAGCAAGGACATTTACAGGGACTCCACTATAGTATCTTACAGGAAAGTCATGATGTTGAAGTACTAACTGGCTACATTGTGCTAATTAAGTGCTGTCCTATCAGGTAATCCCATAAAATACAAAGTTGACCAGAGTTGAATAAAATAAATACTTATGTTGCTGATAGTCAAACAGCTATTTCAGTGCTTCAGCAGAGATAGCATTTTTGGATTTAAGAATTATTTCTCCTCGAGGAATGTGTTCCGAACTTCCATTATATTGTGTCTGAAGATGCCTAGCTTTAGATGTGTACCTACAGGATGGTTATTCAAATCATTACAAAACTGATGTTCCCCAGTATTGTATTAATGTATTTCCTGAGAGGAGAGTTATACAAATAAGATTGGCCAAATTGTATTTGGCCGTGCACTCTTTGCCACAGGAGTGTATTAATTTTAAATACAGACTCTAGTACCATATGTCTTGCTAGTAATTTTTTTTTTGCTTTACTTACGGGTGGGCAAACTTGTCTTTATGTTCTTTCCCAAAGTGCTTTCTTATGTTACGTTTTATTGTTTAACATATGTAATGGAAATTAGAAATAGCTTGAAATAAGCTTCATCCAGGATCAGACATAAATGACAAAGAAATAATTTCTGCAATCTTTTGGGAATAAACAAGGCAAAAAAAATTGTATATTTTGGTTTTAGGAAAACTTTTTACCATTTAACAAGCAAAATTCTTAAGCATTAAAATTCCTCAGCAAAACAAACATCACAGGCTCTGCTTTTTAAAATACAAGTAGTAACAGACTTAGTTTTGTTTCCTTTTCAGTAGAAGTAGCTGTATCCCACTGTAAAAGCCTAAACATGCATATGTTTTATGAAGGTACATCAAGTGTAGCAAGAGCCTGGAGTGGCACCTTTGATGAACTTCTTGGAAAACGGATTGGTCATTTCTTCAGTGCCTACTTCAAAATGAATTACTCTGGGCTAGCAGAGTATCCTGACTTCTTTGCTGTACTCCTTATATTACTTTTATCAGGTAAGAAAATATATGGCTTAACTTATGGTGGTTGTGATATTTTACAGTTAAAAGTGCTAAATTGTAGGGTTTTGCACCGGAAATAGCTTAAGGAAGTTCAGAGCCACGTTTTGTACTGGCACAATGGCTCTGTGAATTACATGTATATAACCAAATTTTCACATGCACCCTCTTTTCTTGAAACTGAGGTATGAACTAATCACTTGTTCATACTTTTTTTCAATAAAACTCATTCTAAAGATTTATGGTAACAGGAAAATTACACAGTTCTCAGTGTTTTCATGGCTCTGTCACCAGTAAATGCCTCTGCAATGGCCTGGAGGTTAAGCTCTGTAGTTTGGTGATATAGTCTCCTTAAATTACAAGTTGTGCATGTAGTGGGCATTTGTAAGGGGGTTTTTCCACCTAAATTGTTCTCTTATTTGGTATAAAATAAAGTTCCCCTTTTTAAGTCTTCAGTTGTTTATCCTAGAGTTTGTTGACCTAAAGGGCACCCCGAGGTACTTATATGGACCAACAGACCAGTTTGAAACCTGAGTAAACCTTTCCTGTCTACTCTTCTAAGTCCTATTTTTGTCTTTACTCATGTATCATGCTTTTAAATCACAAACTGGCTATCTCCTATTTGAGGGATCAGAAAGCTCAAAAATACTGCAACTTATTTCCATGTTTGTATTTAGCAATTATTTACCATATAGAAATGTTCCTACTGGCACTGGGAGTGAAGGAAACAGGAAGTGTATTCTAAAGTGTGCAGTTTGTTTTCAGGCAATACTAGAAGCATTTCAATATTCAGTAGAGGTCTTATCCATATCTCATATACTTGTCATGTGCAGTCTCTCTTTGGATTAAGCCAAAGCAGAAGCTTTTCTTCTCTGGAAAGTGAAAATAAGTTATATGTATATAACCTGTTCTCTTGTTCTGAGTGGGGTTTTTTGACACAGGAAAATATTTCTGTTCTACCTACTGCTAGAATGAATGACCAGTGCATGTGAAGATTTATTAGGTCTCTGTACATAAAAGAATGGCTTCCTATACTTAGGAAGATCTGGGAGTTGACTTGGTTTAGTCCAGCATCCTGCCACATTTGTGGCTAAGAATTGCCTGTAGGACCAGTTCAGACCCTTATGTCCTCAGGAGGGTTGGGAATGAATGTGGAATATAACTGGAGCAGACCTTTCAGTTCTACCTCTTCCAAATAAAGGAGACAAAAATTAACACCCTGAAAAGCAGAGCACTGAAACACCACAAACCAAACTATACAGTCTTAGTTTAGATGCTGACATCTTTCATGTTTTCTCCATTGCCATTGCTGCTTCAGAACATAAGAATTAGAGGTTCTTGAAAAAAGGGGAAATGTTTCCCCTGTTGTTCATCACTGCTACTGAGTTTTCATTTGTATCCTGTGTTTTCATCCCTACCATCATTCTTTCTTCACTCCTTTCCTATTTTTGCTGCAAATTGCCTCTCCAGGTGTCTGTGATCAGAAGCCAAACCCTCAGTGACTGAACTGGGTGGAATTCCCCACTGCTGAAAGGAGGGAAGTGGGGATGGCTCAGGACTGTGTAGGCTGAGCATGATACAGTAATTGGATTGTGAGCTTTGTAAAGCTGAATCATAGGAGTAGCAGGTGATGTTTTACAGAAAATGTTATGTGCTAAGCACAGTGAAAAGTACATGGAAACCTCTGGGGTTTGGATTTTTTTGGTTTTGTTTGGGTTTTTTGTGTGGTTTTTTGGGTTTTGTTTGTTTAATTTTGGGGGGTTTGGGGTTTATTTTTTGTGTAGAGTTTGGGTTTTTTTGTTCTGTTTTGGTTTTTCTGGTAATGAAAGGACTTAAAAAATGCACAAACTATGATTCACACTGCATTAGGCTGATTGAGACACTGCCTTTTTGGGAAAAACTGAGCTGAAGAAAGCATACATCTATTTCAATAAAAATGTCATTGATGAAGAAAACCTGAGCAGCTCATAATTTCTGTATTCTGATAAGATAGCAAATATCTCATTAGAGGAGTCAGAAACCTTTTAGACATTACTTTGAGAGGCTTAAAATTTTCAGACTTAATCTCTAAATAATGAGGGAAAGTATGTATGTGATATTAGTGGAAATGCTTAGAGTGCAAAGGATCTGTTAAAACTTTCCAATTTAATTTTTCCTGATCTGCTTACTGCATGTTCCATTAAATTGCTAACACTCTAGCACTTAAAATTGTTTGAAATCTAATGATAAAGTAGAATCCCGATGGAATAACTTTCAGATTGTTTAAATGTTCTACTCTGTAATCTAAAGCTATGTGTATCTTGTATCTGACTGTTTCACAGAATCTCTGTGCATCACTGTTACAAACATGAGGTGTGCAATTCTTTTAAAGTTGCTATTAATGAACTAGGAAGCACACTCTGATGGGTGTGCCCTGAGAAATGTAGAGTCAATCAGTCATATTTTTAATTTAATAATTCTGCTTCTTTTCTTAATCTAACAGATAATTCTTCTGAAAGGAATATATTCTACCAATCTATTTTTACAAAGTATAGTATTCTTGTAGCTACTTTTACTCCATGGCATAAAACAGAGATATGGATTGGCATCTCTGAGAAGTAAAAAGTAGCCATTGCTAAAAATACTTCTAAATACTTAAAGAAGAAGCTTTCTCTTTTATGGTTTCCAATATATTTGCCTATTGTCATGCTGTTAAAGAGTCTAGCAAGTTTGTGATAATGCTTTTTTTAAAATCTGGTGGGTGATTTTTTTAGTATTATTCACAGTACTTGCATATACATATACATGCACGCACACATGCGCACACCTTCTTTCACATGTATCCCTTCTTTAAATGCCATTTTATTACTTTAATGGGCCATTCACATCTATAAAATATTTCTATTTTACAGGTCTTTTATCTTTTGGAGTAAAAGAGTCTGCATGGGTGAATAGAATTTTCACTGCTGTTAACATCTTGGTCTTGGTCTTCGTTATTATTTCTGGTTTTGTGAAAGGTGAAGTTGACAACTGGAAGAAAAGTGAAGAATATCTCAGAAACTTTACTGCAGTAACAGAGTAATTTTTAAAAATCTATTTACTTTCTCATATTCCTAGCAGTTTCCTCTTACACATGCTTTATTATAATAAACACTATTAGTGTTTGAATATGTTTTGTCACAAACTTCAAAGTAAGTAAGATGGTAGTTACTTGATTCAGACATTCTTCCTCTTGCTGTTATTCTTCTCTTTCTTACAAGTTTGGACATAAAAATGTAATCTCATGCAGTTTTGTAAAGCAGACCTCTGTTATGATGAGAACATTTAAACTTTTTTTTAGAGGTCTAGGGTAGGAGGGTGCATGTATTTATCGTATTATCGTACCAATAATGGAGGGGGGGAAAATTATCTTTCTGCTGTATTTTTGTCCTTTATAGGAACCGCTCATCCTATGAAAATGTGACAAGTATGTATGGGAGTGGTGGCTTTATGCCATATGGTTTCACAGGAACATTGGCTGGTGCTGCAACCTGTTTTTATGCTTTTGTTGGATTTGACTGCATTGCAACAACTGGTATAGTGTTTATAATTGTGTGTATATATGTTTAACATGGGGATATTTTTGCAAAAAAAAAAACCCCAAAGAACCACAAAAAATATAATACTCAGTCTACTCTTCTTACTTTGCTTTCTTCCAAAGCTCTTTCAGTCAATGTAGATTGAGTCTAAGTTCTTTCCTGAATGTGGCTGTCTTTCTGGTAAGAAGGAGGAGGTTCTGTTTATTTCATTCCTGTTCTAAAGAAATGATTGCTGCTTTCTAAGTCTGAAAAGTGCTTAGTATATTTTTTCTGCTCAAATAATGTTAATCACCTGCTCACTTTTACAGTTCTCTGATATAAGGTGTCTTTCCCAATGCCTGATAGGGAATGAGTATATCGAGTACATTGAAAGTGAGGTAAATAACTAAAAATTATGGGCTTGGAATACTCTGCATATAAAATGTATTTTATGGCCTTTAATTTACCACTATTTTAACGCTATTTCTGACAACAAAATACTGAGTTCTGTTCTGTACATCTCAGTTTATTTTACTCAGGTTTTTAAAACTTCTATTACAGATCTGATTCTCATGACTTAGATTAACAAGTGATTTGTCTTTGATGTTGTCTCTAAAAGCTGAAGGGGAAAAATAGTACAAATTTTTGGTGGGGCATTTTCTTTTTCTTTTTTCAGGAGAAGAGGTCAAGAATCCTCAGAAAGCCATACCCATAGGAATTGTGGTGTCCCTACTTGTCTGCTTCATGGCCTATTGCTTGGTTTCAGCTGCACTGACACTTATGATGCCATACTATCTCCTGGATGAGAAAAGTCCTCTGCCAGTAGCATTTGAATATGTTGGATGGGGTCCTGCTAAATACGTTGTAGCAGTGGGATCTCTCTGTGCTTTGTCTACAAGGTAAAGACATTGAAATACTAATTCTATTGGGAAAAGCTGATTAATAATATGTTACATTTGTTTGTATGTTCGTGTGTTCATTTTGAAGGCTCAGTCCATGCAAAGAATTAACAATAAGTAATATAAGCAAGTATTAAACTTAAGCAGGTCTAGTTGACAATAGCTGTGTTAATTTGGGCTCCTTTTTTTCTAAACTGTACTGTTATTGAACTCTACCTCTTTAGTAGAAGCTTATTACACCTATTTTTTTTTAATGTATAAGTATTTTCAAACATATGACCTGCAAGTTATCTTTATTAACTGACAAAGTAAATCTCCCCCATTTTTCCTTTCTTTTGCTGTCTATTCCCAGTGACTCAGCAACTTTATGGGCTCTGTGTATTTGCAGGCAAAATTGAAGACATGATTAACTAGCTCCACTCCTCATCTTCATTGCCTGTCTCTGTTTTCCTCCAGCAGCCAGTCTGTCTTCTGACATCATCCCTTCCTGTGGTTTCTGTGTGGGTATTTGAGATGTAGACTATAGCTGTGAAAATACTATAATTTAATTCCCTATGTGAAATATGAATGTACCTTAACGTATTATTTTGATTAAAAAGATCAGGGAAGGCACAATATATATTAGTATGTGTTCAAATATATTACGCCCCAATTTTAATATGATACAAACACTTTAATAAAATAGAAAATTGCTTGATACTTGAATTTAGGGATAGAAAAATGCTGATGCCAATCTTTTACCTGAGCTTATGTAGGAAAGGAGTCATTTCCATGAGCTTCAGTGGTAAGAGCACTGGCTGCCTTTCCATGAAGGAAAACAAGTTCCCTGTGGAAGCACCAATAGTAACAGCACTCCAACATAACCCTGCAGGCATTAGCCTGAATATGAGTTTGTTAACTGTGGGCAATGGTTTAAGGGAAAGGAACATTTAGATCCAGGAGAGGATAGAAACAGGAGGTAGTTCCAGAAGGACACTAAAAGAAATGTAGGACTGACTGAAGAATGTCACAGTTACACAGTTCATCCTGGGATTATTTTTGTTATTTTCTATATATTTGTAATGGTCCCCTCAGGTTAGAGGGTTTCATTGATTTTTTTTTTCTTTACATTGATAAATAGTAGAAGTTATGTATAAGAAACCAGATTAAAGAAATTAATACTGGAAAACAAAACGAACTGAGATGGTAAGAAATTTTTAGAAATTTGAACTGTCGGTCTTTTTCCAATGTATTCTGAAGAATTATATGTACTCCTGTGGAGAGATTAATCTTTCAATCTGTTGACTGATGTTAGTCTAGAACAAAACAAAGGAAACTGTATTTCATGCTCCTCAGTTTAGAGGTACAATGAAGAAAAAACTTTGGGATGAATTGCTTTTGGTTTCCTGTTACTGTGCTATGTCATGAACTTGTTTGCCAGGCAAAGATGTTTGTTAATACTGCCATTATGTGTGCAAATGTACATAAAGAACGGTAGGATAAATGAATCTTACAAAGCTAAAACAACAAAAAACTTCTGGAATTTTTTGGAATGTACCTCCTTTGTGGAAGGTACAGTTATACATCAAAATCAGTTCATTTGCAATAAAACTTCTCTCCTGTCCACCCTTAATACTTGTGTCCCACAAGCGTTACTGGATGTACCTAGCACCTGTGGCATGTAAGAGCTGTGCCTTCTTTAAGTGATATAGTTGTTTCTCTAAAGTAAGAAAGGAAACCCTTCACCTGGTTAAAAACTTGTGTGCTTGCTGCAGAGGTTATACTGGCTGTGATTTCTCCTTTTTTTTCTTAATTAAAAGTATTTCTCTTTGAGGGAAAGAAACCACCTAATTTAAGAAGTATGTTTAAGAGCTTCAAGTTATCAATAGTTTAAAAGCTTTATGTGTTCTAATAACATCTAAATTAATTAGCTTTACTTCTTCCAAAATAAAGTCTTAATGCAGCTTGCCTAGAGGTGTTTTAATCAAAAGAATTAATCTGCCCAAGTACACTTGTATGGTGCTCACTTTGAATTACTTTAATCAGCAGGCTTACATGGAAATATAGAGTGTAAGGGATGCTGCTTATGCTTATTTATTTGCTGCTGCTGACTGACAGACTTTCTCCAGGAATACTAAAGCTGAATTGCATAGTTAGTGTGATCTGGAACATGTTCCTGGTCCATTAATACCCAAGAACTATGGTGATGGGAAGAGAGTTATCTTGATAATCTGGATTCTGTCTGATGAAGCAATTTTATTATCTAAATTAATATAATAATAATAAATCAACTTTGCAGTTAAAAAAACCTATTTGTGTCTGATCTGTAATACTTTGGGCTATGGGGCTTTCTGGTTTTGTCTTACAACCATACATTTTGTTTCTATACGTGCCATTAATTAACATTTTTTATCTTGTCCATAAATACAACTCTGCATGAATTGTGTTTGCCATGTTGCATGTGTTTGCTTTTTACTTAGTCTTCTTGGATCCATTTTCCCAATACCACGTGTAATCTATGCTATGGCGAAGGATGGGTTGCTTTTCAAATGTCTAGCTCAAATCAATTCCAAAACGAAGACCCCACTAGTTGCTACTCTATCGTCTGGTGCAGTAGCAGGTGAGACTAAGAGCTGATCCTTGTAAAGAAAGGTGCACTGCTAAACACATTGAATATATGGAAATAAACCACTGTTGTGCAGCTTTGACTTGCTTTGGACTGAAATGATCAAATCTGCTTGTTACTAGGTAATCTACCAGTAAAATTTTTTCTACCTCAGATTTTTACTTGTTGGTTTATCTCAAGTGCTTTCAAAGCCTAGGGTCAAAATAAACAGTAACCCAAAACCGAGAACATCAGTCGACCAAACAAAATCCTAAGAGCAGCAACACAGAGCCTAAGCAAAACTATACCTAAACCCATTAACTTCTCCAAGCTTTCTTTTTGTGTAGTTGAGTTTACCAGGAAAGCATTGTGCTTTTAATAACCTGTACTTGAACTATACATTTTTCTGTTCTAGTCTTCTCGGCTCTATGTTCCCTTTGCCCCGAATTCTGTTTGCCATGGCACGTGATGGTTTACTCTTTAGTTTTCTTGCCAAAGTGAATAAGAGGCAGGCACCAGTTTCTGCCACCTTGACAGCAGGGGTCATCTCTGGTAAGCTCTCAAAGCCCGTTTTACTTCAAACTGAGATTTAAACACTCTATGCACGTGCATGGTACTTTATATTTTTGAAAAGGGCTACTTGTTAACTTCCCTTGCATGTACAATGGGAAAAAAATTACTGAGTAATCAACGGGTGTAAGAACTCCAGATCAAGCCAATCATGGTGGTGGTGATGGCCTTAATGCCACAGAATTCAATTTTTAATTTTTTTTTTTAATATTAACCCCCATATGGTGAATAAGCTTGTTACTTAATCTGAGTCCCTTAGGCTGATGCTCTACTGACAGGGCTTCCTTGTCTGATGTAGACCTAATATGTTTATCCCATCTTTAATGGGGGGAAAATAACTCACTTTTTTTTTTTAATGAGATATAAGAAAAAAATGCATTTGCAGCAGGATCAACTTTTTTGTCAACTACAAGGATTTTTTCAATTGTCTTCCAAAGAAAATGATTGTATAGGCTTACGAGGTTGTGGTTGAGAGGCATGTGTGTGTTGGGTGCTTATATGTCTGCACATATATGTATACACCTAGGTGCCTACATGTATTTTACCAAAACAGTATTTTGGGAGCCATTGCCAACTCCTAAGGTAAATTCTTAACATACAACTCTTTCACTTGGGTTCATACTTCTTGCAGAGGTACATATAGCTTTGCCCAAATTTCATCATCATTTTAGTGGGATGTCTAATCACCCGGGAAAACTGGAAGCTTTAGAAGTATTTAGCTCAAAGGAAAATATATAAGTTTTTTAAGTAATTCAAATATCAAATACATGCCTTTAGAACTTTTACAACTTTGGCTAAAATTTATCTCAAATAAGAAGTTCAGGAATGAGACAAAAATATTTTTATTTATAGTCAGAGTCATCCTCAGATGCCACAAGACTGGAACTTGTGTTCCACACTTGCTCAAACTGTGTACTTGACAATAATGCAGAAAGGCACAGTCTTTATCCAGATAGTTCCCACATGAAGCATTATTATCAGTTCCCTTTTATTTGGTCAGAGTACAAATAGATGGCATAGCATTACTTTTATTATTTCAACTTTATTTTATTTGAATTTATCTTATAGACGTATTCTCCTATAAGAATTTGAAAGTGCACTTTTGTGGGATGAAATCAAGATCTTTATGTGAAATCACAGGAATGATGAGAAGAAAGAATAGTGTATTACCCAGCTGGTAAAGTGATTGGTATAGTTACACAGCCCTGCCTGTAGCTCTGCAGCAGCTCACATTGGACTGCTTCTAGACAATCTTTAGGAATTTGGTGCATCAACAGCTCACTGGAAAAACAACTTTCTCTACTGCTGGAGCAGCATTTCTTCTTCTATTTTTTTTTTTTTATCCATATTTGGTAATTTGTGGTCATAAATAGTTTTGGCAGAATAGTTGTGGATGTATGTGACTGCTTATGTTATCTGACTTTTCTATGCATTTGTAGCATGAATAATTTTACAGCTGTAAGAAATGTTAAGATGAGGCGCCTAATTAAAGTTATCAAGTCAAGACTACAGCTGAGGCAGCTGTCACGTGTTACTATGTGACTGACCTTTTTACAGGTGGTCATCACCATGGCAGACCTCTGCACATGGCAAAATGTTTTGGTGTCAGTCCAGTTTCACCATTCATGGACCTACTGTTGTCTCTTGGAGTAGAACTAAGAGAGGTGGAAAAGAAATACTCTGCCTTTTTTTCTCTTAGTATAGAAGAATTACTAAGAAGAAACTTGCAGGCATTTTTCACCTTGTTTCTAAAGTTAAAGAACATCTAGGCTACAGAGTAGCCTTTTGAAACTGGGATTAAAAATTAAATATAGCTACTGTTCATGAGGTTTTAGTAGGTTCTGTTCTTCCTCAGCTTTGCTCTTTAGAGCATGAAAAGCAGAGAGGTATTCAAAAATCTACACTGCAAATGCTTTTTGGATTTAGGAACATCCACTCTCATTGAGGGAAAAAAGGATGGTCTTAATTGGAAAAAGAGACTCCCAGATTATATAAAAGTGATTAAATCCAGCAGTCTTGTTTTCAGAAAATCACATTTTGCTTCCTCCTTTAGGATCAAATAACCGGGAGTATGTGCCCGTGTGTTTGTGCACTCATGCAGCTGTCTACAAATACATTAACAAATGCATATCATAAATATTAAATACAAATATTTTGAATATAGAATAATTTGGGTGTGCATATACACACTGTGTATAAAGACTACATTCAATAGTTTCTTTTGATGTTGAGATTACTGATGATTCAAAAAATCTGCATCTCAAAAATGTTAATAAAATACAAATACTTTAAAAGGCTCTTTGAGCACATGTATTTCAAATCAATTGGAATTAGCCTTTCATTTACTGATAGCTTCTCCTAATTTCTTTATAAATAATGTGCTTCTGTGTGCAAACAGCATAGACAAAAAAAAATATTCCAGATTCTCCAAATCAATATGGCATTAGCTTTTACAAACATAAGACTTCTAGAATAACTTCCACTGCCATGGAAGTTTCTGCCTCTGAGTTCAGTGGTCATAAGAATATTAATTCTTGAGAGATGTTACTGGTTGTTCCTGAAGGTGAATTGAAAACTATTTTTAGTAAGATAACCATTAAACAAAACCCCACAAAACTATTTTATTTGAGACAACTCCTGAAAGTCCTCTTCACATAGAGCTCTTTACCAGCTCAGCAGAAATTTTACACCACAGTGATTTTTCCTCAGTTTGGCAGTGGGATCCATCCTTTGGTGAGATTCTACTGCAGGATCTGAACTTCATTCTATAAAAATTTATTTTTAATATGGCCCAAATTCAACAATATGTGTGCAAATACTTACATCCAAATAAGTCTGACATAAGCATTTGATTATGCAGCATGACTGTAGGACTCATCAGGGACTGTCTATATGAATGAGATTCCCAGCTGTAGGGAATTAGGTTTGGAATGATACCAGTACTTTAAAAGATGTGGTTTTAAGGATTATCATGATTTCACTCATATTTCTGTCAGTAAAACAATAAGTTACATTGCAGGTTTTAAAATCTTAGCTTAATATATTTTTAATATTAATCTTGGCACTTATGCTTAGACTTGATGATCTTAAATTTCTTTCCCAGTGTAGATGATGCTACAATTCTATGTCAGTCTCCTGGAATTTTTTCCCATTTCTTTTCTTTTTAGCTGTAATGGCATTTCTGTTTGACCTAAAGGCTTTAGTGGACATGATGTCTATTGGCACACTTCTTGCTTATTCACTTGTGGCAACCTGTGTCCTCATTCTTAGGTGAGCTAAAAATATCCTTTGTATTCTACTGTGGGGGTTTTTTTTTGGTTTGTCAGTAAATAAACAGGGGTATTTTTATGTATGACACTGACTATTAATGCTTTTGCAATGCAGTTATAACTTGGGAAGTTCTAAAGGTCTGCTGTAAAGAATTTAGGGCTTCAGTACATTCCTAGATTCATATTGCTTCAAATTTAGAAGTGTGCTTTATGGTTATTACTCTGTTTTATGCATAGGTACCAACCCATCTATGAGGAGCCAAAATACCCTCCAGAAAAAGCAGCTTTGGCTGCAACTGAAAGAGCATCTGCAGTAAGTGAGTCACAGATAAACATGATAGAAGAAAATCACTTCGGTCTTCAGGCTTTGATGAATCCATCCAGTTTACCAACTGAGCGGACTGCAACTATAGTTAACTTCTTAGTGGGCCTCTTAGGTAAGTGTTTGGCTGTCCAAACTCATGTATGCATTAACATTTGTAGTGGGATTTTATTAAAGACAGAATTAAAAATCCACTGATAACATGCCCTCTTTCAGTCATACATGTGTCATTCTGTGCTTTTATCATTCATGAATCAATCTAATCTGTGGTCATTTTCATTTAATTAAACATATTCGTAACAACAGTTCATGTTGAAGCTTGCTATCACTCTTCTTAAAAGTCACTTCCTCTTCAACACAGAGATAAGTGACCTATTTCTGTAATTTTGTTTTTCATACAGCTTGCTTGATTTGTGGCTTCAGTGTCCTCATTACATACGGGATTCATTCCATTGCTAACTTGGAGCTCTGGAGTATTGGCCTTCTTGCTTTATTGGTGATATCCTTCATAGTCACCATTCTCCTCATCCAAAGGCAGCCTCAGAACCAGCAGAAAGTAGCCTTTATGGTGAACAACTTATTCTCTATGTTATTCTCTGATGACAGCTTTGGATGGATTCTAAGGAGTGGGAGAGAGAACTTAAAGCTGGAAAACAACCTCATCAGAAGTTGATGAGTGTACAATCACTTGTCTGTGTAATCTGCAATCCTTTAGACTTAATACACAGTATAAATCCTTTAATTTTGCACTTTCACATATATTCTAAGATCAGTTATTTAATGGAAATCGTGAAGTGTAGTGATGAAGGTCAAGGAATCTAGTGGAGGTTGGGGAGCATTTCAGAATAAGAGACATATACTGTTCTTCAGCTGTAAGTACAGAAATTCACTAGTATATGTTCACACAAACTGGAAACTTTTTTATAGCCTTAGAGAATATATATTAAACATAATGTATTTTAAAAGTTTAAGATCTATAGAAACTGTTGGTTAAACACAGTAAAAATTTCACTACATTACAACACCAAAAAAAAATTGAATTCTTTGTTAGTGATTACACTTTACCTCTAGTTTGTGTTACATACCTGAAATGTGACATGCAAAAAAATTATGTTTAATAGAAACATATTAAATATTTCCTTTTAGGTTCCACTGTTGCCATATTTGCCATCATTCAGTATACTGGTAAATATTTACTTGATGGTACAATTAAGTGGAGAGACTTGGATGAGATTTAGCTTCTGGATGTTACTTGGTATGTTCTTCTGTTCACTTCAGTCACTTCATACACTAGAAATCATGATTCCCATCTTAAAACATTCTTTTCTTTCAAATATTTGAAAAAAATCTCTGTGATTTAGTAAAAATCAGCTAATATTTCTGATGAAAAGGAAGAGCATGCTTCAGAAGTATCTATATGCAGTCAAAATTACAAATACAGTTTTTAGGTAATAGGAAGAATTCCAGTAAGCCCAGTAAATATAGCCAAAATTATGTAGAAACCTGCTTATAACAGGTTTCTTCCCAGTATATCAGTCTGTCCTCTTTTAGATCTAGAAAATGGTATTAATTCCATCTAGACATGAATTACAGATAATACTTTCCATAACTTATTAGAGCATTTAAGTATGCAAAAATGATGCACCAGAATTTCCTGTAGAAACAGGGAAGACCTGAAACATGAGCTCTGATTCAGATATCTGAAGAAGAATAGTCTTTAGCGAAAATCTGTTCAGCCAGAGAAAAAGATATTCTTTTTAATGCACTACTTGCCTGAAAACCCCATGAACTTTTTTTTTTTCCTTTTGGAAGGCTTCCTCATTTACTTTGCTTATGGCATCAGACACAGTGTTGAAGGTCATCGTGGCAATGGAGATGATGATTCTTGTTCAGAAAATAGTGGGATGCAAGAAAAGAACCCAGTGGATGACCCTGAAAATGCAAATGAAAGGGATCAATTTCTTCCATCTGAAAGGACAAGTGAATGTTAAACTCTGCAAACACACAAATCTTTTAAACCTTCAATTGGCATTTTAGTTGCAGACTGAAATTTCAGAAGATTTCTGCCAACATGTGCCTCTTGAAAGTGTTTACTACAAGGCCTAACTGATATTTTGGACAAGCTGCTAATCCATCTTCACAATTTCAGAATTGACAGCATGGAGATTAATATTTAAATTTTTTTTTAAAGTACCCTTTAGCAAGCAAAAATTTGGAGACATTGTTTGAAGTGTCATCCAAAATCACTGGCAATCATCAGATATGAAGACTTTTAGAACTGTCTGCAAGAAGTTCTGAGTATTTGACAATCCACTGTGAACATAAGTACCTTTCATACCTTTTCCTTATCTTTGTTATGTGTTTTGGTAACAATCTAAATTCTCTTCTTTCTGTTGAAGTAACTCATGGGAGATAAATTTCATTCATACAGGCCTGGAAAGTATTTGCAAAATGGTAATTGCATGGATTAGATACTTAGTAAAAATTAGAGGAGCATTTATTTATGTAAAAAAAAGGTAATTGCTTATCTTTTCTAATTATGACTATTAATCTGTAGTCATGGAGAACTTAAGCGGTGAAGATACTTAAGAGGTTTTTAGTCCCTCTAAGTAGCATTCAAGATTTCTACTTAAGCATGCCTTTTCTTTGAAAGATGCTTCTCACAACAGAAGCTCTTGTGCTCTGCAAAATCATCAGGGAAATCTGTTGGTTACAGTATTGACAGTGACAGTCAGATGTGATTTAGCAAATTCTGTGCTTTTGACTTCAGAAGGGCCAGAATTTCATCTGACTGGTACTTAGTCTGGTACTTACATAATCTGGTACTTACATAATCTGGTACTTACCTTCAGCAGTCATCCAGTTTTCCTCCTTACTACTCACTTCTCCCCCTATATTTTCTCCTTTATACATGTCCCAGAACTGATATTGCTGAGATTAGTGTTAGACATTGCTTCTAAAAAAAATTAATGCACAAAATCCCAGCTTTCTTTTCAGATGGTAGGGAAGGCTAAAAAAACCAGAGTTCTGGATTTTGGAAAAAAAAAACCTTATCAAAACAGTATTTAATTGCTTCATTAAGTCTTAAAATGTATGTTAGCATAGGACTTTTTGTGAGCCAAGCCTACATCCACAAATCCATTCATGTGGGTATAATGTCTAAATGCTAATTTATGTAAAGAACCAAACTGGTGTGGCAGCGCTGGGTAAACAATTATTTTAATGCTGGTAAAACCAGAAAATGTTCTTCTTGCAACATAAGTCATGTTATCTGTCAAAGGCACACAGATATTTTTACACTTTTTCTCAGCAAGGAGTCGGTTCAAGTCCCATGAAGAATTCCACAATATGAAGTAGTTTTGCAAGAATATATTGACAAAAAGTCCTTCCGTAAAGTAAGAACTGTGTTGGACTTTGTCATGGAGAGTTGCAATCTGTTGCTGGTACTAACCATTGGTATTAATCTCCATTGTTAGGTATAAGAACTTTTGATGCCATGAGAGCTATGTTGGTTGACAGTGAAGAGCACCTTATTTTTTATAAGAGCTGGAATTTTATGAAAGAAAGAAAGAAAGAAAGAAACAAACAAACAAACAAACTAGTTAGGCTGCTTCTGTCTCTCTCCTTTTTCAGAGCAGTAAGTTGCTCTTTTTAATCTGAAAATGACTTCTTTCACAGTAGTCTTAAATCCTCAGCTTCAAAAAAAGCCATTGCTGTGGGAGCAAGTCAGCCGTGCCCATGTGAAGATTTTGTGTGATGTCTTTACAAGCCTACAGTGAAACAGAGCCCTTAAAATTCCTTCCACATCTCAGCATGTGGGAAGCACAGACTTACTTTTTGCTATGGTTGTTGATGCCACAGAGCAGGCCAGCCAGGCTCCCAAGGCACAAACTGCTGCTGTTCTGTGCTGTGCAAGGAAGACTCCATTCCCTCCCAAGGCTATCCTAGAGAATGTATGTGTGCACACCTGTCCGTGCATTTGCATGTCTGAAATTAGCCCATAGCAAATTTGATGTACTGGTTAAAATAATTTCTGTATTGCACTGGACTTTTCCTTTCAAGAGATACTGCCAATACAATTAGCTTCTGACTAAAGCAAGTGCTAGCTAAGGCCTCTGGAGAGAACTAAAGGAAGTAAATTTTCTAGCTTAGTTACCTGATGGATGTGTCAGCACTTTGTGTATTGACAAATTCCCCTTTTACTTGCATGAATATTTCTCTCCACTTGTTAGCAAAATTAATTATTTTAAAATAATAGGATGTGCCTGTACAAGTGTTGCTAAAACAGATGGGAGGAGCTGCAGCACCAGAGCTATCCACATAACTAATGAGATATAAAATGAAATTAAAGGAAAGGCACTGGGTACTCTTAGTTGCTTCAACTGCGCAAAGCTTATTTATGCGTGTGTATAGTCATTATGAGTCAGTAGCTGAGTGAAAACAGGCAAGCCAGAAGTAAGATATTTATGGTAAATTTGATGTGCATTTGTATATGCAGTCTTAAAATTCCAGATGCTTTAGCGGGACCCTGCAGAAGCAAAGGACGTGCCATGCTAGTCCTACATGGAAGTGATGGATGCAAGAGATCCTGATCCTTTCTCACATTTGCTGTATCTCTGCACTTGCTGAAAGATCAGCTGAAAGCACAAGTCCATTGGAATGAAATAATTGTTATTTTTTAACACAGTAGTTGGTATTGTAAATTGTTCTGTGCAAGTAATAACGGTACATATTAACGGTACATATTAACGGTACATATTAACGGTACGTATTAACGGTACATATAACGGTACATATTAACGGTACATATAACGGTACATATTAATACAAAATATCTACTTTTGAAGGTAGCTTATTGGGTTTTTATTTCCTTTGTAGAAAAAAAGTTATTCTAAGCTTTTTTTTTTTTTTTGGTAAATTCAGGATATGCCATTAGATAAATTATTCTTCCCTAGTTGGCTTTAAGAAAGTAAGCCAAAGCATATTTAACAGAAAACAAATAAATATTTTTGTTCTGATGTAAAGGAGTTATAAAACATTTCTGAATATTTCATGTTAACTGAAGTGGTGTTCCTGTGGTATTCCAGTCCTCATTCTGCAATGGGATTTTTATGAGGTAACCTAGATTTCATTGTCTGTTATCGTGGATAAAACTATTCTGTTAATGGTACGCTTTTTCCTGCACAACAAATGCTGGTCAGATTCCTGAAATCTGTCATATTGTGCTTATGTTGCCAAGTGTTAAATACATTTTTATTATCTCCTGTTGGAGAATTAGCAGCAATAAATGTCAGTTGTAGTGATACAGAGTTACTTAAGCAAGAATTGACTTGTGTCATCCAGAAACTTAGAATGATACAATGAATTTAGAGGCAAAGCTTGGTAAAGCTTAAATATATATTCTGTATTTTATTACACAATAAATTTACAAGTCTAGTCACCTTTCCCCTAAAATTTATGAAAAAAGAGATATATTTGAGAAATATAAGGTACAGTGTATAAGGTACAGAATTTTTAATAAGTGCCAATATCAATGTGCCATAAGCATCCTGAGGGGGTGACAGTGCAGGAAACCTGTGTGGGACTGTGCAATTGGGTATGAGGCCTTTGACACTGAGACACATTTTTTACAGTAGGAATTCACAAGAAGTCTGGTGTGTCTTACTTGAGTGCATAAAGAGAAAATGAAAAAATGAAAGCACCTTTTTAATGCTCTTGGGCCCTAATTCTTCCTGGACACGCTGGGAAGTCGGTACGAATAGCAGTATGTTCACTGAAGGCACTGAGGTTACTCAGTGTTAAGCAAATACAAATTTTACAGGAAGAGTAGTGGTATTTCATATAGTATAGGATCTTTGTGTTTGCTTTTAATTTCCTGTACCTTTAGTATTTCTTTCTGGTATGTTTTGAGGACCTCTGCATTTTTAATAGTTTGACCTTTTCAAAACTAAATATGATGCCTTTACCCGGTACTGATCTATTTTCTGTTTGATCTTAGAAATCAAACTCCTTACATGAGCTGAAGGATTTCTGTGCATAGAGATGCAGACATGCATTACAAAGAACTGTATGTGTATATATATTTTTTTTATTGTCAGTTTGACAAATTCTGTTGTTTTTCTATGTTTTCATGAGCCTTGTATGAGGTCAACTCCAGGTTCACCAAGTTTAGTTGGGGTCAGAATATGAGGATTTGAATATATAGGAGAGCTTTTTTCTTTCGTGGTACCAGAAAGCAAAGCATGAAATATGTGTTACATATCTTTAAAATCAATTATGTGTGAATCATTAAAAAAAAATTAGCATTCATATCCATCTTTTCTTTTTGTTTGTTTGTACATTTCAGTCATTATTTCTGTATCGTATGCTGCTGAACATTCAAAGTGTAGATAAGATGATTATGATGCAACTTAAACTACAGATTTGTATTTCTTTGAAGTGCTCTACCAGAATGAAAATCTTGAATTTTTATGAATGTAAAATTGCTTGTATTTAAGAATATGGTGCTTTTTTCCACTTTACAACAGAATTGTTACCAGTGACATTTTTAGATACCTTAGTTCCAAATTTTAATGGAAATTACATTGCTCCTCATTTACTGTAAAACATGCTTTGTGGGATAACAATAGTGCATTTGTTCCATATTTTTAAATAAAGTTGAATATCACTTGTATGTCCTTCATACAGTAGCTGTAACTTTAACCACTACTATCATTTTAGTTAACACTAAAATAATATAGTAACTTAACATCATGAGTATGCCAGATATCTAATGTCATGACATTGCACAAATCATAGTACATTTAAAAGAAATAACATTGTATGCACTGCATAGAGGGAACAGAGAATAACATCCTTTGATTTGGGCATTTTGTGTTACCCTGCCAAACCAGAGATGATGTTAGGTTTGATTTCCAGAGGGGGTGACTGGCCCTTAGCTTCATGCTCAACTTTCTGAAGCACCAAGCCTTGTCCTGGTATTCACCCAACCACAAGAGTTGGATTAATAAATTCATTGTTGTTTCCTTGTTCCCTATTTTTCCAAAAAACCCAAACCAAATCAACTAACCACAACACTAACAACAACAGCCCCCCCCCCCCCCCCCCCCAATACCCCAATCCTTAAAAAAACCCTCCAAAACCCAAAAAGACCCCAAACAAACCAACCCCAAAACCTTCCTCAATTTTTATTAGTACTGTGAGTATAGCAAGAGAATTCAAGCATATATCTAGGCAATGGATGACAATAGTCTGGACACAGAACCCTACTGACAGAGGAAGATTGTCATCTGGCACAAAGACATTTGAGTAGTCATCTTTGTTCACAGACTTAAAAGTGGCTATGACAGTATTTTTTCTGAGGTATATTCTTTATAAGGAATTATATAATAATATTCAAATTACTAATAATCACCTTACTGTACATACAGATGTACTAAGACTGGTCTTGAAAATCTTGGTCCCATGAAGCAGTGGAATAGGGCCACTGATTTAAATGAGGGCAAGTCATCGACAAGCATCTCATCACATTTAAAATATTACTCGAAAAATGTATTTAATCGATCAGTTTACTCATGTAGAGGACTGGGGTCCTCACATAAAGGTTTACATTAGTTTTTCTGATGGCTATAAATGAAAATTCATGCATACCCTTTGTAAAGTAGGACACGTAAAATCCATGAAATAACTTTCTTCATCGTACACATTTTCATAGGAAAAAAGAATATGCCAGTTTAAATATGTCTTAATGCAGTCTGAGTGTTATTTCCATGTGCTATTACCATATTTTCCACAATACACTAATACTTGCAGCTCAGACACCATAAGATCATTGACCTACCCTGTGTGTGAAAGCAAAAGGGAAATTTCACTTAGGAAGGCAAATAAGGATTGCAACCAGTAGTTTTGCAGATGACAGGGGAAAAAAAACCCCACTCTTCATCATAAGCAGGAGTTGTGAATATTTCCACTGCAAATTTGCAGTTTATACTACACAATTTTTTAAGTTCTTTCTGAGATTCATTTACCTTAAAACAAAGACTGATAACCTTTTCAGATATAATACTTGTTATTCTAATTGTTTCAAGGGGGAAACACTGTAGCAACAAAATTTTTTTTCCTAATTTGTTACAGGTAATGGATGACACGTTTATGATAACAGAATGAAAAAGAGATCATGAAATTTCATCAACCTAGTCCACTCCTGGGCCTGACTGGTTTCTTTATGCTAACCAGGTGCCCCAGGGTGAAGTCTCAGAGCAGGGTTAGGTAAGCAAGTCTCCAAACTCTGCACGTGCGTGTGTTTATGAGGGTGGGGGAACATTATGCATGGACCTTCTAACTTTTTTTGTGTGGATACAGATGAAGTAAACCTTTAAGTAATCTGTAAATACTCTACTCTGACATCTGCTGTGGCCCTGGAGCTGTGGTCAGGGACACAATTTTTATTTATCTTTATTCATCTTGGACTGTGCTTGTGTCTACTACGGGGTCTGCCTTTGATCTCGGACAGTCATTACTTCCCCCCACCCCATTCAAGTCCAACCTTGCCTTGCATCTACCTTTGTGGCCCCTCCAGTCATATTTTCCTCTCCCTTCTCCTCCAAGGAAACCCTCAAATTTAAAGGAATAGCTTTTTACAGCTCATTGTGAGCAGAAACACACACACGGCAGACATCAAGTTTACCATTTTCATCCCTTTGCTAGCAGCATTGAGAGACGTGCGCCTTCTCAATGTGCTTCACCTGTGTCCAGAGAGAGACCGCCTCTCTTTCCCACAGCGACGAAACTTTCGGTGTGCCAGGCTGGTACGAGTGCAACAGTCCGACGTAAAAATATGTTTTTGCTGTCTCAGGCCAGCACTGTTCAGTGCCCTACGTGCAGCCCCGGGGTCACCTGCGGTACCGCCCGTGCTCCGCTCTGCCCACCCGGCTGTGGGCCCCAGGGCAGCCGCAAACAGCCGGACCTGTGCAGAGCCTCGTAGGGAGAGGGGCAGCTGGCACCGAGGAACTGCTTCAAGAACAGCCCTCCCGCGGTGTCCCCGAACGTCCTGCGGCTGCAGCCCCGCTCCGCACACCGAGTATCCAGCGAGGAATGGAGCGTGGCGGTGGGAGCGGCCCGGCCCCGGCCCCTCCCCGCCGAGGCGCCCCGGGGCCGCCCCGCGCCGCGCCCGCCCCGCCGCCGCCGTGCCCGGGCCGCTCCCGCCATGCGGCTCTGGGTGCTCCTCAGCGTGCTGCTGCTGCAGGAAGCGCTGCCACACGGTGAGCCGCCGCCCGACGGGTCCCCCGCTTTGCGAGGCGCCGCCGGCTTCCCTTTTCCCAGCCGCACCCGCCGGCCCGACCGTCCCAGGGACGGGAGCGGGAGCCATCACGGGAGGGGCGGCGGCGGGGCTCCCGTCCCGCTGGGCAGAGGCGGAGGGAAGCCGGGTTGCTCGCGTCGTGTGAGGCCAGCAGGTCGCCGACGCCTTCAGGCGAAAATGTGGGTTTGGGTTTTGGGGAGAGGCGTTGGCAGCGGCCCCGGCTGCTCCTGCCGTCCGCTCTCTTTGAGGTAGAACTTTTCAGTCTGCGTCCGGTCCCGTGTGGCGCCTGAGGAGGGGACAGGGCTGGACGTGGGACAGCGTTGGGTGTGATGCTTGGATTTAAAAAAACAACAACGAAACATTTGGCTTTCTGCATCGTTGTTCGATTGAGAGCATCGAACTTCACTCGTAACTTGAGTATTATGAGAAAAGTTCTCATAACTTTTTTCTCACAGCCGCTTCAGGCTGTGAGAAAGTCTTGGTGGAGAAGGGACATCCGTAACTAATTTTTGATTTAGGTAGACTTTAATTAGCAAAAGGGAGACTCTTTCCCCCTTGCAAAATGTAAATGAACTTATCAATACTTATTCGGAAGAAACAACAAAAAGTAATTCCATTGTTTTTCACTGTGCAAGGGCTTGGGGATCAAGGCCTGCATAACCCATGGAAGGGTTTGTAGAGAAATAGGAGGCAGGCTCTTAGGTGTGTGTTGGAAGGCAATTACCACAAGTACTTTAGTAGGTCATAAGGAAAACATTCTTATAAGAACATAAAAAATCCTCCACCCTAAGAGCTGATAAATATAGAGAGAATTTGTCAGAGGAGGCTGTAGAGTCTCCAGCCTCTGGGAAAATCAGAGCTCAACTGGACATGGCTCCGAGCATTGAACAGAGATGGGAAGGGAATTCCAGAAGCCTTTTCCAGCCTAATTTTTCTCCTGGCTACATGCAGAGGAATTGCATTGTGGATTAGATTGATGCAGGAGAGGATTTCTGTTGAAAGATCAGAAAGATATGTATATACCACATCAAGAAAAGTGGTTTCTATTTGAGAAGTAGACAATAAAAACAGAAAAAGAAATGAGTTGTAACTTGGGTTTCAGAAAGATTTCCCAAGTCTCTGTTCTTGTCAGTTTCTTATGTTTATACTGTAGTGTGACTGGGTGCTCCCTGCTCTGCTATCCAGAAGCTTAGCAATGGAAGAAAGCAACCAAGTATATTTAATTAGAATTTCTTGTCTAAAGCTAAATGTAGAAGTCCTAATGTAGGAATTGTAATTTCAGAATAGTCTTCCTAATTTATCTTATATTAATTTATGAACTAATGAAACATGCCCCTTCAGATTGGCACTGTGTTTGGATGATTAACTTTTTGTTTGAAGTATCACAAATGATGTGTCCAGCTTGTTCTGTTATATTACTTGTAATCACAAAGACTCTTTCCTCATATAGTAATCCTGCTGGTTAATTATACTTTATGGTAATCTGACAATTTATTTTTTATTTCTATTTTAAAATTTATTTTTAAAATGTATGGTAACCTCACAATTAATTTATTTTCACCTCAAGGAAGAATTAATCAGTATAAGTTGAGAGAGTTCTCAGTCTCTGATGGTGCCAAGATGTAGCATGGGACCAGCCTTGTGGAGTGGGTATGTCTGGTGGACAGTGAACGTGACTCCTTTGTACTTGTGGGAGACCAGGCTCACACACTGCTTCTTGTTCTCTGGGCTGGCACTTGAAGATCAGGGCCCTTCTTGAGTTATACCTGTTCATCTGTGAGACTGGTGGAATGTGCATGTGGATATAGGGGATGTCTCAAAAAACAAATGCTTTTTAGGATTATATAACTAACACTCATTTTGATATTGTTGTGTGGGTTAACATTTGTGAGAACAAGGGACAGACATTAAAGAATAGGGTAAGACAAATACTGTCAACCAGGAGCAAAGGTGCTGCGTGATACATTTCTGTGGCATATGGATGCATAGTCTCCTACTTTGGCATGATGAGTTATTAGGGATCCTGAATGTACTGTTGCAGCTGAAAGTTAGTACAGTGCCTCTTTAGAACCAACTTCAGGAGCTGATCAGTGGTAGAAATGAGGCATTTTCTCGATTAATATTTTTCTAAGTCTTAATTTTATTATATTTTATAATATAATAAGGAATGCTGTTGCACTAAAGCAGTGCAGCATTAGGCAGTGCAATGTTATTGAAACAGTGAGGGCTCAGTGCATACCTCTGGTGGGATAGTGAAATATCCCAAATGTGGCATATTCACGTGCTTGCATAAATGGGCTGGTTGACTTTGTTCCCTTTCTTGGGAAAATCTTGCCGATTGCATAAGAAAATGGAGGATTCTTGGTGATGGTTTCTGTGTTCCTGGAGGGATTTGTGTATCCTCTTTACCTTGGGTGATACTGTAGCAGTTAATTTTGTTACCTGGCATAAAAAGACTTAATTCAGCTAAGAGAGAAGACAGGACTGTGAGGTGCAAAAGAGGTGCTAGAAGTGGCCAGTAGATATCTGGAAAGACAAGGGAGTGTTGGGAAGGAGCATGGCCACAGCTTGCTTGGAAACTCACCTCTTTGGGAGGTGCAACAGAGGCAGAACCAGGTTTTCTGTGTAAGAAGATAAAAGCTCATCTGATGTTTCGTGAAATGCCCCTGCTGTCACCTGGAGGGAAGTACAAGGTCAGGCAGACAAGGCTCTCACTGAGCAGCTGGGAGTGTGGTGTAGGAGGAAATGTGAACTTGCTGAACTGCAGAAACATGAAACAGAGAGAGCTTGTGTGGAGAGGAAAGACTTAATCTTGAGAAAATCAAAACCAGGCTTCTGGCACTTAAAATTGGAAAGATTTCATAGGGGAGTCTTTAACAGTTTCTTAAAGGCAGAGTCTCAGGTGTGGCAGAGCACACAGTATGGGATGAAGCATTTCCTAGGGATGAGGTTGCAGGGTCCATGTGCCTTAAGAAATAATGTCAGGATCAAGCTTAGCAAAAAGCAGTGGAAATGTCAAAGAGTAGTTTGAACAAATTTCAGTAGGGTTTGATGGGGGGGCGGGGGGAAAGAAAAAGGATGGCTGAGCCAAAGCTTGTGTGCTGCTACAGAGTAATCTGGAAAGTTCAGCAAGGAACTGGAATGGCCAATTTGAAATGGGAATGCTTATTCAAAAGGCTTATGGGGCCTGTCAGTGGCACCTCCCTGTACTATGGCACAGCAGTGTGATGGAATCCCACTAAGATGGAATAGCTTACCCAAGGCAGAAGTGGCAGTATGTGTTGAAGAAAACTTTTAAATCTGTTTCCTAGTGGGTTTTGGTGGTAAAAGTCGCCGGGGCTGAAATACCAGCCCTGTGGAGAGGAACCAACCTGGTAACTGACCACCCAATGTGTAGTGACTGCTCTGCTAAGGAAAATCAGAGGGGCAGCAAGATAGAAAAGCAAAAGGAAGAATAACTTCCCCTCACATGGGCTGGGTCACACACATCAAGGCGTGGTGCAGAATGCAATTGTTTAGATGGCCACAAATAATGACTTAGAGCAGCTATTCAGAGAGCTCCTCAGAAGAGCAGCAATTCTTGACTTGCTCTGAAGCAGTACTCAAGTAATTGGATTCAGATGTTGTTGTGGAAAGGCCTGACTGTAGTTCTAATATTCTTTCAGGAATAATAAAAGACAAAGAAACCACTGATGTGTTTAATTTTGGAAGGGGGAATTACATAAGAGGAGGAGGCTCCTTAACTCACATGTGGGTTAAATATAAAAAGCAGAATAAAGCAGACCAAAAGAGCTTGAGAAACAGCTTACAGAAGGATAAAATCAGCCATAAATTCTTTTTGTTCTTCTAATGTACCATGATGGGGCAGGGAGACATGGCTGCAGAATTTTTATGACTGGTAGGAATGGGGGATAAGAAAGAGCATCTATAGAAAATGAAATTTAAAAATTTATCTGTGTACACCCATGTTAACTATGGAAGTGCTTAGAGAGGTTTTAATGGCAAATGGTGACATGATAAGCATAGAAGAAACTTAAGAGTGCAGCATCCTATGGAGCACTGTTAGAGCAGGTTCTGAAATAGAATTTTTCTCTATGGGGAGAATCATTAGAGGACATCTCATTAACATGCCAAAAGAATCAGTTCTCAGATAGAGAAAATTAGCAACATAAATTGTTTAAGTGCCAAGATAATATGATATACACCTGAGTTGTAAATTAGTGAAGCCTTAGCCCAGATGCTTGTCATTACTTATCTTTTTCCAGAGAAGGGCAGTGAAGCTGGTGAAGGGTCTAGAGGGTAAGTTCTGTGAGGAGTGGCTGAGGAAGCTGGAGTTGCTTAGTCTGGAGAAAAGGAGGCTCAGTGATGACTTTATCATTCTCTAAAACTACCTGAAAGAAGGTGGTAGCAAGGTGGGATTTGGTCTGTTCTCCCAGGCAGCAAGTGACAGGATGAGAGTACAGAGCCTCAGGCTGGGCCAAGGGAGGTTTGGGTTGGACATTAGGAGGAATTTCTTCACAGTAGGTGTGCTTAGACATTGGGATGAGCTGCCAGTGGAGGTGGTGGAATCACTGTCCCTGAAGGTGTTCAAGGAAAGACTGGATGGCACTTAGTGCCATGGCCTAATTGACATTGTGGGTTTTGATCAGAGGTTGGACTCCATGATCTCAGAGGTCTTTTCCAACTGAATTGATTGTGTTATCACTGCATATCACTATATCATGTCAAAGAACTGCAGCTTTCCAGTGAAATGGAATATCCCAGTATTTTACAATATTTGGAGGAGGTAGAGGCACAAAAACAGATGTCTGTATTCTGTAAACTGAACTAACGAATTGCTGTGAAGTCAGTATGGCTTTGGCATGACTACCTTTTTTTTTTTTCTTTTTTTTCTGGTTGGTTTTTTTTTTCCTTTAGAAGTTTTGTTCTTTGGATCTGCTGAGGTTCTCTAAGGACTTTTTGTAAGAGTGTGGCCATGGATGAGTTGGTTGATGTAGTTGGATTCCCAAAGGCTTTTATTGTAAGCCTGTTGTAAAAGATTCTTTGGGAACCAATGTGCTGTGAGACAAGGGAAGACCTCTCATGGAATAATAACTAATAGGAAATAAAGATTAGGAATTAGTCTTTTTGCCATATGGATAGAATTGCTTTTAACCAGCTGAATTTAATGGATCTTGTAAGGCACATGATTTTCAGGATGTTTAAGTAGCTGTTAAAAGAAAAGAAAACTGTCAGTAAAGAGTTGTAGAATGATCTCTCAATTTTGAAGAACTGGGCAGGGAAAATAAGACTTCACATTTCATGTTGGTGGATGCTAAATAACACAGACTGTTCTAACTTCATGTATGCCTTGATGGGTTTCTACTTATGAATTTTTAACCAACACTTCCTACGTAGGAAAGTGGTCCTGGAATTACACTTGATTTTTTTTAAAAAAGTCAGTTCCTAATATTGCTATCTTGAAAAGTAATGAGCTGTTTAGACAGGAAAGAAGACACCATTAATATGTACAACTAGATCTGAGCATACCTTGAACCTGGTGTACAGTGTGCTATTGTGTTCTTGCCTTCAGCCAAATGTGGTGTAGCTGAACTGTTGTAAGATGCATTTTCTTTACAGGAACAATTAGAGTTGGACTTGTCAGTCTGGAAAGAAAATTAGTCAAAAACCCTCAAGTTCTGTAAAAGTATTTGTGTTAGAGAGAATGTTATTGGAGAAACATGAAACAAAAACTAGAAGGCATCTGGTATTTATGTGTAATTTGTGTAATTTTCAAAATTGACCAGACAAATCAATGAAGGAAAACATCCAAGGACAATATTAAAAAAAAACAAACAAGAAAACCCCCAAACCCAAAACCAGCCAAGCACAATAAAAGCATGACAACTGTGGTTCACAGACCCCTTGAGCTAAAGGTTCTTGGAAGCTCAGGAGAGTAGTATCAAAGGAGCAGAGTGGTTGCCCTGTTCCCTGATTGGCATCTGACACTAGGTGGTGTCAGTGCAAATAATTTTGGCCTGACCCACTGTAGCCTTTCTAATGTAATGCAAAGAAAAAATGCTACAAACTCCTGGTTTTTAAGTTTGTGTTCACAAGGCACTGTGTTGTTTAAAAGAAATGTGTTGTGCATCAGCCTGGACTTGGAGAAGTCAAAGCTGACGCAGTGCAAGGTGTCCAGCTGGGGTTTGAGGAGTGTCACAGGAGCCATCAGTGGCAGGAATCTGGAAGTCCTGCTGTTCATACTGGCAGCCTGTACTAGTTTTAATTATGCTGAGTATGTGTGTATGCTGAGTTTTTCATTCCAGAGGGAGCCTGTTGATTGATTTGTACAATGAAATACCTCAGTGTTTCCATGTGGAAAACAAGAATTAGCTGTCAGGTGCAGTTAGTGGTGTTTCTGGTGTCTGGCAAAAGCAGTTTTAGGCTTGTCTCACAGAAGGACTGTGCTTCCTGATGTCACTTAAAGTTGGAATTTTTTGTTTGTTATTATTTTTAAATATTTGAGACAGCTCACATTTTCTTTCTGTTTCCTTTGTTTGTTAAGGCAACTGGGCATCCTTGTTGTCTCTAGGAGGTAATGAAATCTCTTATTGTTTGTCTCTAAATAAGATATTGTCTTCATCTGGACTGTCAAAATAAATGGCTCTTACGGGAGGAGTGACAACTTAAGTAAGTCACCTTCAAGTGACTGAAGTATCACTTGCATTTCAGTAATTACTGTAAACTAAGAAACCTGCATCACTATTAGTATTTTATAAATTGTCATGAAGTTCTAAACTTGTGAGTTCTTCGTGTGTCCCTTATGGAAGTGTGGTGTGTGAAGAGGTCATGCAGAAGTGATGGGCACGTGACACGGACGTGGAGAGCTTGTGTAGCATTGAGTGCTGCATGGCATCACCAGGAGGTGGAAATGACAAAAGTGCCTGCAGATAGAAGTGCTGTATTTCTTTCCCTTACCATTTGTAAAGTTTTCATAGCTTGCATATTTCTCTGTTTATGTAAGTGTAGATTTTCCACATGATCTTGAAAGCTTTTTTTCCCCTTTTTCCCCAGGAAAATGGGTCATGGCAGACTTCAAAAACTTAAGGAAATTAACTCTTACTAAGTTCTATTCATGTTTTCTAGGAAGAACAAAACTTCAGTTATTCTCTGGGATAATAAGATTTTTTTTTCCCAGAGGACTATATAAACTTTTTTCTAATCAGTAACATTGCCTTCTTTTCTTTATTTTACCAGTTATTGGACAGCCTGCAAAGAGTAAGCGTCCCAAAGAACCTGGAGAAAACAAAATTAAGCCTGTTAACAAGAAAGTAAAACCCAAGAATGCCAAAATGAAGGAGAGAGAGTCTGTGGACTCCTCTTTGAAGTCCCAGTCCATACTGACACAGGTGATGGATAAAGGTCATTTCCAGAAACTAGCTGCCACCTTAAGCCTGGCTGCAGGACAAAGCATAGAGCTGCGATGTAAGGGGAGTAATGTTACTTGGAGCTATCCTTCTTATTTAGACACCTTTAAAGACTCCAGACTCAGGTAAGCTATTCTTCATTTTTTGCAGGAAAAATCCAGAACATTTTTTCTCTTACTGTGTTCAGCACCACTGCTGTTTTAGTTTGTGTGTTTATCTACATTTTTACAGTTGTGATGTTCTATTTAATAGTTTTTAGTGTCCACAAAAAAGGATGAGCAATTTTTAGTCATCAACTTTTAGTCATCACCAGTTACTGTCTTGTGATGTGCAGTCTGGGATAGTCTTACAGCATGTGAACTCTGTTTCCTTCAGATGAATGTAAAATGAAGATGTTGTTCACCATTTGCTCCAGCCACAAACAGGGAACCATGTTAGGGTTGGTCCAAAGTAAAACTCTCAAAATGTGTGTGTGGATGTCAGGTGCTCACTACCAGCTCTGTTGCTCTGCAGTGACCTGCTCGTGTTGGGCTGTACTGGTTTCTAATGTGGCTACCAGGTGAGGTAGTAAGGTTAATTTCCTGAAGAGACTCAAACCCACATCTCTTAACTAGCAAAAAACACACCAGCCTTTAGGAGCTAGTGAGAGTAGTGGTTCAGTCAGAGTTGCCTTTGCGTGCAAATGAAATTGCAGGGCTTGTGTTGCATCCCAGTTTAATGCTGAGGGTTATTACTTTAAATTGAGGAAAGCTTTTTCTTTCATCTTGTGACATCTTAATGAAAACCACAGATTTGTTAGAGCAGGAAGAGGAACTGACTGCCCCACCATCTGAGTGTCCTGTTGGTCTGAGTATCTTTTCTGAGACTCTCCATACATTACCTTCCTGTTTTTTTTCAGGGTAGTACACATAGCTAAATGTAGATTAAATGTAGTAATTTAGTTCTGTATTAGAAAGAGGAGGGGCATGTAAGGAGCTTAAGGATGTCTTGCACAGGCATTTTATTGCTCTGAGAAGTGTTTGTTTTCAGTGGCTGTTTCATGGAGACTGTGAAGCACTGTGAGTGATACCCAAAGAAAGAACAGTTAGGAGCTTTTCTTGGATTATTAGGTGAGAGGGACACAGAGGTATGAGTCAAGGTGTCTGCTGCTCTTGTCCTGTTGTTCCTAAATGAAGTACAAGTGAGTATGCTCTCACTAAGTCCCTCAGGTTATCTGAATCTCAGTGTCCATTATAAGTACATTATTTACAGGTGTGATGTTACCTTAAAATCACTCCCAGTTAATTAGTTTTTCAGATATATACTTCTTCTTTCCACTTCTCTTTCCCAAGGGTAGTGTTGATGAATGGCAGTCACCCACTGTGATCTCTAGCACATCCTCCTGTAATTCATGAGCCAGTTCTCTGTGCCATTGTGTGCTTGTCCCTTGCTGGCTGAGGTGCTCAAGGACTGCCCTGGCTGAGTGCAAGGCTTCTGCCACAGTAAGTTACAGCAGCAAGCTGCTTCCTGCTGCGGGCTTATCACAGCAATATCTGTCAAAAGGCCCCTTTAACCTGCTGCTGCTTATTCTTTTGCAAGGAATACTGTTCTATCCCGGTTTCTTTCAGCAGGTGGCGTTTATTAGCTGCAGTACAGGCCTGCCCTCCCAGCAAGCAGAGCTGGAGGAGCAAACCAGCAGGGAGTGTGCGTGTAGTGGTGGTGGCATCGTTCTTAATGTTTTGTGCATTTGCAAATAGCTGCTGGCGTGGTTTGGTCCTGTAGACCTCCAGGCCACGCCATCCGTGTGTCAGAATCTGGCATTGAAGAAGGCAGGCTGAGTATTCAGGGTTTTTGGAGAGGAATCTGAATCCTTCCTAATTAGTTATTTGACTGTCTATTCCTCTCATGCAAAATTAAGTGTTCTCTCTGATGCAAGAAATTGAGATAGTTTGGGAAAACAGCAAAAAGATATTTATGTCATGATTGTGTAATTTTCTGGTTTCCAGTTTGAAGTAATTTGGGATCCTTCAGCAATTTACATTTTTGTACTCAGTCAAGTTAACAGTGGTAGTTTAACCACACAACAAAAGTTAGTTGCACCACATAAAATAAGTGCTGTAAAACATTTTGACTGGGGAGATGTAACTTGCCTAAGTATCTCTTTTCTTTTAGAAGTATGTAAGGCATATACTTAAGGATCTGTATTGAAATATAATGGTCATTGCTTTTGAAATAAGTTGTTAAAGCAGTAAGGCTGTGTTTGACTAAATAATCAGTTTTGAATACAAGCAGAAGATCCTAAAATTAACTAGAAAAATTGAAAACATAGATTAGAAGCAGATTCCAGAGTCACAGAATAGTAATAATTTATGGAGACATTGACCACAGAAACCTGTGCAGTTACATTTTGATCACGTTTTTAGCATGGCTTTGCTAATTATATCAAGGTCTTTGCTGTAATAGGTGCCTGTGAAACAAAGTCTGCTCTACAGAATGTGAAATTTGAAATTTGTGTTCTGTGGTTTGAGAAAGGTTTGATGGATTTTAACTGGAAGTACCATAAAGGTACCATGTTACTCAGCTCAGCTGGCAGTGTTTGTAAGTGAGCTGGCAGTAGAAAAGGTCAGCAAAGCTGTGACCTTTCAAGAGGAGCTCAGATCTTCCTCATGGAATATGCACACCATGCACCAAGCATCAACTGCAATAGGCAATTTAAAAAATTTTATTAATACATTACTTTCATTATTTTAAAACAAAATGATGAATATAGGGCAGAGGGGGGAGATTCAGAAAACTTATTAGCAAATAACCTACAGCAGAAATTGTTTAATCATCTAGGTAGATATATGTCCAGTATCTTCTGACATTTTTGAGTACTTAAAGATCAAGTATAAGATAATCCCCTCATTACCAGTTAGTGAGGTGTGGGGCAAAACCCAAGCTAATTAACTGGGCTGGGCCTTTTTTACCTCAGATTTCCATGTGGGTCTTGCTGGACTTAGGGCACTGGTGCAAACCAGAATTGATGACAGCAGCAGGGGGATGTGATGGGGCCAAAAGGAGGTAACGGAAAATGAAGAAGGAGTGGGTTGGTGTGCCAGAGGATAAGTGAAAAGGAGGAGACGCGCTGGTGATGAGATCCCTGCAGTTGCTGGGGACTAATGACTACAGTTCTTCTGTTCATAGCAACAGATGCTCAGGCATCCAGTTATTACTTTTCCCTTAAATAGTAGAAGGTATGTACAAATTCAACTACTCTGGCATTTTGGCTTGCAACTAGTTAAATTTAGCATCAATGTAATGTATTTTCTATGGGTGGTTGCAAAAAGAAGTAGGGATAAAACCCAGATGTTTTGCCTCCATTCTATGGTTACCACATTTTAAACTCACCCATATGGTAAGGATGAGTACCACAATCTGGGGAACAATATGCCTTTTCTAAAGAGGAAGATTTTCATTAGAAAAGCCATTTCTGTAGTATTAGTGGCTATGCTTTCATTGAACTTGTCCTTGTAGGCGTACTCTACAACCTGGTAAATAAAATATTTTACTTGCTGTACTAGAGAGTCTCGGTTTTTAATGGGTCTGGAGCTGTTACATGCGCTATAATTATCACACCTGAAGGAGTGAGAGGAGGAGGAGGAGGACTCTTTGGCTGCTTCTTGCTGAGATTGAGCAGAAATTCAGCCTTTCCACTGCTCTAACTGGAGTACATAACAGTACACACTGAAACAATTTACTTAGCTTTAGAGACTGTAGTGTGCCATACAACTCTTGAGAGAAAGCTTGAATCATGCAGACATGGTTCCCAGCTTAAGGACACACATAAGCTTGCTGCAGAACTTCAGAACTTGCCTGTTATCTGTAAATGCTCTCTTGCTTTGTGCAGCACTTAAATACTTTTTGTCTGAAAATTTTGGGTACTGGCTGAACTGGCCAAAAACATTGGTGGTGTTAACAGTCAGAGGCTGCTCTTGCACTCCTAGTATGGGAAGGCTGGAATGCTGTTTTGTAAGACTGTGAATAACAAATTAATGACTGGAGGCTCACCCAGAAACTGGATCTACAACATAAGAGAGGGATAAAAATAAGAGCAGGCGTATTTTCCCTTTACTAAAGCTTTATAGCAGAAAGCTGCTCTGACTTCACACAGTCCTGTGCTGCCTGGCTGGAGCATGGGTCTCCTCTGCTGAAGGCAAGTTGCTTTTGACTTTGTCTGGTAAATAAACTGACACAAAATGGAGCTGTTCTGATGGAAGAAGCTGGAGCAAACAGCTGGACATACATCACATGTACATTCCTGTGAGAGGAGGATGTCTGGACAGGAGCACTCCCACAAATATTGAGGAACCTGGGTGTGGTGGGGGCCAGAATTAGACTGAAATTAGACTGCTTTCACTGAATGCAGTGAATGCATCCCACAGGCTTAGTGGGATGTCAGTTGTGCTCATGTGTATGTATAACTGAATTTGATTTTGCTGCTTGTGCTTTGAAGTTTAAAAGCTAAGGATATTTTTCTTGTGTAAAACAGAAAGATGTTATGTTCCTGTCCTAGTGAGTGTGTATTTGGGATAAGCTCTCTTTTGTCAGTATGAATGCAGCTACTTGAGAGTGGTTGGGTAGATGGTCTTTGAGTGATGCCATGTACACTGTCTTTATAGATATTTTTTATATAAATATATATTTTAGCTTCTAAATGTGGCATAGTTTTCTGGCAAAAAAATCTTTTGAACTTTGAATAAAGTTTATTAATAAGATGAATGTATGGAATAAGATTTTGGGCTATGTTTCTAGTTTCTTTAAACAGTCTGGTAATGTTTGTATATACATACGTGTTTGTATATACAACATTTTTACTTTGTGACATCTACAATGCAGCAAAGTTTTGGCTTCTGGGTCGGATTTCCCAGCATCTAAAATACTAATAAGATACTAATGAAATTACACATTTCCCTGGAAATACTGGTTAGCTGCAGGATTTACCATTTATACTTTATTTTATATGGCCTGTTTTGTCTGCTTAATGTGGTCATGTCTCAAGTTTCAACACCTGCACTCTCAGATGCCAGGTTTTGTTATTGCATGTTTGTGGATGACTGCCTTGCTAGGTTATTACTGAATAGCTTGTTCACAGTTAAGAAGAACACACTGTACAATAATTAATTAACTCTGACCTTATTTTGCTATCTATCTTGGGATTTCAAGCTATAGCTCAGTGTCTGCATTAATGATTGGAGGCAAAAGAGTTCTGGCATAATGGTTGCTCTGTATTGTAGACATTTATTACTTGATCTTTGGAGAACATTTTATTCTGAGGTTGTCATATAACCTGTGAAATGTGAACTGTGAAACTAAGCAGTAATAATACAGACTAGGACATGCTTTGGGTTTATCTTTTCTTCCTCTTGGGTATGAAACACAGCATGTTCTCTTGCACAGATAGGAATCTCTCAAAAGCTATCCAAAACCTGAAGATAGTTTATAATGTAAGGTAGTGCATATATTAAAAATGGAAAGGCAACTGCAGCATAATTACATGATTCTAAAAAGTGGAATCAGACATGGTTGGGTAGAACAAATGCATTAGTGGATAGGAATTGTGATTTGCCTGTTTATTGAGGCAGGCCTCAAAACTGCCCTGTGGTGGATCCATGTGTTTCTATGTTGGTGTGGGTCTAATGGTGTCTGAGGGCTTACTGGGAAAGGCAGCTCTCAGTTATCTCTGTTTGAGGTGTGTACTTGGTGTATTTTAATCTCTGAGCTGCTGGCCTGGCTGAAGGCTGAGATTTGGGTTATGTGGACTGCTGCTTGTGATTGCTGCTAATGGTGCAAGCTGCTGGCAGAGTACCTGGGGAGTCAGAACTCCTGGGAAGCACATGCAGCTGAAGTGGTGGCCTCTGTTTAAACAGTTATTCTGCCTGCAATGGACAGTTAAACAAAACTCTTAAAAAGAATTACAATTTCTTCAAAGATGCTAATCCTGGAAAGAAATTATTCAGTCAGGTATCTGCCTTACAGAATAACTACCATAATAGTAAGAATTAGGAGGGTAATAAATATTCAAAAAACCCACAGTTGAATGAGTATGAGAGCTGTTCAGACTTAATGCAAGGTGTATATTTGTCCAAATCCCTTTTAAAACAGTAAAAGGAAGTTCATTATCAAATACCTAGCTTGGAAAAATCATTTCTGACTTGATTAGAAAGAAATTACCTTGTGACTCAATTTCTTGCAAAGGAAAGAGGGAACCCTTCATTACCTAGATCCACTACCATGAGAGGCAGCTGGTTGAAAAGAACATTTTTAAGGGTTGGAGCCACAGCAGAGCGCATCAGTACTGCCACGTGGCTGTGCTGACAGCATTCCCTGAGAGCTGGTACTTTTGGGCCATTGCTTTTGCAACCCATCAAAAGTCAACCCAGTAGACTGCCAACCACACCACCATCTGTCTGCCAGAAAGAGCCAGGAAGGTAAAGTTTAAAATATATTAAAAAATAACAAGGTGAGACTGTAGCTGCTGTATTTCATAATATGGGACCTTTGCCTTTTAGAATAATTGTCAGTATCTATGTAAATGTCTGCATATTTATAAATATTTGCACATTCACAAATGTCAATCCACATTGAGAGATGTGCCTGGGAAATTCAGGAGAAGGAAAAAAAAAAGGCAAATCAAGTCTGAAATAATCACACAGACTGTATTTTGTGTAGTTACGTGATGGCACTGCCAGTACACTTTCAGCAGTTCTCAGGGTCATGCTCTAAAATAGCCAAGGGATGTGGAGGAAACTCCAGTGAGGTGGCTTAGATCACAGGAGTAGGTCTTGCAGAATGACTTAATTTGCAGGACAAATCCAAGCTGAGGTAGCAGCTCTTTGCAGGTGGAAACTTGGACTGGTATGTTAAAAATTGGAAAAGCATTCACACTGAAAGCAGGCAGAAATTATTAAACAAACTCTCAGTAGAATACCTGCTACTAACTACTTGTCAATTATCTTTGTTAGATTTTATTGAAGCAGTATTACAATATTGAAAAAGGACTGAGGTGCATGTGGGTTGATGTGTAGAATGAAGGAAAGGGCTATACATGGACAAACTAAGCCAAAACATAGATGAACATTTGGCCTAGAACAGTCACAGCCCAGTTTCAAAATGGAGACTTGAAGGAATCCAAAAATGAACTGTACAAGACTTTTGCAAGTTCTTGTATGTAGTTAAAATCAATAAAACTGCTCATGTAAACAGTCTCTGCTGGAGCAAAAGGGAAGTGGCAACAGAGCTCTGAAAGTAAAAAGTTGTTAGTTGCAGAGAAGGAATAAAAAAAAAAAAAAGTGGAAATGAGCTGACAGAAATATACAAGGAAATACATCTGTGCTTGTCTTTGCTTTTGTTTTTATTTTTCCACAGCATAAAACAGCTTGACAGGCACAGTCAGCTGATCCTTGCAAACTCCACTGCAGCAGACACAGGTGAATACAGCTGCTGGCTTCAGCTGTGCAATGGTAACAAATGCAGGAAGGATGAGACTAAAACAGGGTCAACATACATCTTTTTCACAGGTAATTAACTCACTGGGGGATTATTAGTGGAAATATATTTGCTGGTAAGGCAGGAATAAAGCTATATCAGTGATTTCATCGTCAAGATTTTACTGCCACAATTTTCATCTATTTTTAGTGGATGTTAATTAAGACTGTTGGTGGGCAGAAAATTACTTGCTTAGTCTGATTTTTTTTTTGAGTCCATTTTCCCTCAGATTATGCAAAATACCCAAAGTAATGGATAATGCAATGAAAAGCACGTACTTTACAACAGACTTTCTGAAGATTTTCTACAAAACTAATAAAAAAGGTTATAATTCTTGAAAATGTGTCTTGATAAAGAAAATAAATCTGTGCAGAAGATTCATTTTGTCATGGCATTCAGATGACCCCATGGACTCTCTCCCACTTGTCACTTCATTCCAGTTACTTGCACTGCCTTAAAAAACTCAATAAGGCCACAATTTCTCTGAGGAGTCATTATAGCATGTTGAGAGGCAAAACACTCTTCAAGTGCACATGATGTCCCCCAGAGCCTGTGCACAGTTTGCAGCTGCTTGGTACAACACAGCTGAAATCAAATGGTTCATTTTTTCTTCTGGAAAGCATTCTGAATAGTAAAACAACCTTTGATGCCTCATTAGAGCTGAAGTATTCGTGGCTAGAAAATGTTTTAGTACAAAATGTTAAGATAGAATTGTTCGCAATACATTTTGGAGTTAAATTGGACCATGAGAAAAAAGAGCTTAATGTTTTTAGGATACATTCCTTAGAAAGGCTGGAATAAACTTTTCAGTCAAATTATTATATAAATGCTTGTGCTAGAAAGAGGAATTTCAGATTTAGGTTTCCAAGAAGCATGCCAATTATGGAAATGCTCCTTAACTGTGATTCTGAGGGCACTAAATATTTCTTCTACTTAGTACGGTAAGCAAACATTTTGACTAAAAGCATAGGTATAAAAAGTTGTAGCTTCAAAAAGTATATTTTTCTAATAGTCCTTATCTTACCAGTGGTGATGGGATTCCAGATAAGTATTTGGAAGCTTACTAGAAGACATTCCAAAGATTTTCTTAAGATTAAAAAAATACTTCATTTTTATTTTCAATTTAATGTTTCTTTAATGCAAGCAATGTTCTTTTTTCTTTTTGTGTGTGCATATTAAAATTAGGCCAAAGCTTTTTGTTTTAAATGCTGCTCACACCTATTTTCTCTTGTCAAATGTACTTTTCTTTCTGTTAAACCAAGATGTAATTATTTCTGTAATTATGTCATCTCTTCTGCACAGACAAAGAGGAGCTTTTTGTACCTACTCCCAGTTATTTTGAGATTGTCTACCTGAACCCAGATAAACCTGCGGTCATCCCATGCCGTGTTACTACTCCTTCAGCAAAAGTGACTCTTCACAGGGAATTTCCAGCAGAAGAAATTGAAACAGATGGAACTGATATTTTTTATGATGCAAAGAAGGGTTTTGTCTTCCCTCACCCTACTTCTGATCATAAAGGTATTGTCTACTGCAAAGCAGAGTCACAGGGAGCACCTCAGATTTCCATCAAATATCACCTACTATATGTGGAAGGTAAAGTGCAGTTTCCTCTGTCCCTCAATTGACTCTTCTGCTGACACTAAGAAAATAATTTTTAGAAAGTAAAATAAGTGATGTAATGAGAGTTTTAAAATCTTGATCAAAAGTATATGTGATAAAACATTTATCAAGTTTAAAGTCCAGCAAGTTTCCCAGTTTAAAGGGGAAAGTTGCAGGTGTAAAACACCTGTTGCATTAAGCAGACTGAGTCCAAAACTGACTCTTAGTTTTATCAGTGTATTTAACTTTAGCAGCTAATTTTTTGTTTCTAAACACTGTCTCAGTTCCCAAGGGCCCACCCTCAACCTCCATCACAGTGTCATCGGGCAGAGCTGGACTCAGTGACGGAGTTCGTGTCGTCTGCACAGTCCTTGGGGAGCCAGATGTGGATGTGAGCTTCAGGTGGCAGTATCCAGGGCAAGAGGTAAGAGGTGTATGCCCTGCCTGAAAGGGTTTGTTCTTCACAAAGGCAGCATTTTGAATGCTCTTGCCAGTTCAGGCATGCTGGCAGGAGGAGGCAGCATATCCCCTTTCAACTTCAGCCTTTCTTTCCCTGAGAGTCTCCCTGAGAAGTCACACAGGGATGAAGCTGGAGAGCCCTGTTAGTAAAAATCAAATTCAGCAAAGCTCACTCCTCTGTCAGATTTCCATTCCAAAGATACTTTTCCTCTGGCAGGATTTCCTCAGAGAGGGTCAAAGCCAAGCAGCATCAGGAGGCTGTTCTAGGGCAAGCCATAAGGCCCACTGCTGTCTCTGTGTTTGATATGCCTTCTTTCTCCATGGCTTGGGTGTGTGAATTATGCCAGCACAGAATTTTTAAGCTTGCATATATCCTGAAGCTGAATCTGCTTCTGCCCAGCCTCATCTGAAAGAATCCACAGGAAACACAATGTGAATCTGTGGTCTCTTTTCTTGCACAAAATAAGATGTGTCTGTCTAGCATTACTGAAGGTCCCTTCTCTTTTCCCTCTAACCACCCTCACCTGTTACAGTAGGAGCTCATTTCTTAATCATTCTAGACCCAGCCTGGCCTTCCAAAACTCTGTATCTTGTTAGTGTCCACCCTAGTTTTGCATCTTTCCCAGGCTGCCCCCAGCCTGGTTTGCTGGCTGTTATTGGCCCAGCTGTTCCCAGTGGTTTTACTGCACCTGATGCATGCTGGCATGTGCATGTTTACACCTCTCTAGCACTGATAGAATATAAACAGCTAAAGCATGCAGGTTATCTCCCTGGTTTGCTATGGATACCAGAGCTGCAGTGCAGGGTACATGGGCTATCAACAGAGGACTACACCCTCTCACTGCACCCACCTACGGGGTGAGAGAGGCTTTGGCCTGTGGCCTGCCTCTGTGCTTATCCACCAGGGTAAACTATCCCAGCTCCAGCTGTGCCTGGGGATAGGGAGGGGACAGTTGTGTTTGGGTTTCTGCCCCAACAAAAGGATCAAGTAAATGTCAGAGTAGAAGCACTCCATACTTGTTGAAGACTTAACATTTATTGAGTGTGTTCACATACTGCAAAGAAAAAAGGTAGGGTGGAAGGAGAAGAGACAGGACCATCAGTGATGCTGGTCATATAGACCTTTTATACAAGAAAAAGGACTGACATTGTTCTAAGATTCACTGGATGTTTCCATTCATGCTGCTGCTTTCAGTGCTGGGAGCTCAGGGGTGGTTTTGTCCCAGCCCACACCACCCAGCAACTGGGCTCTCACCTACTGCTTGATTCCTGAGCAGAAGCAGCACATCAATCCCTGCTTGTCCCTAGGTATGGTGCATTGTGGAGACCCTCCTTTTACCTCTGTAGTCAGTAACCTCTCCTGGTTTTTTTCCACTTGGTTAGGTTTTTTTTTCTTGTTTCCCCTTGCCACTCCCTGACAATTGCTGTGAATGCATACAGATCCACCCTTAATCTGATTCCGTGCAACAGGCTTCAAAGCAGGCAGTTAGTTTGAGGAAAAATGGACTAGCAAGAGCCTAACCAGGTAAACAGGGTCCACTTTGTACAGTCTTCACTTTCAGCAGGGTTAAGGAAGTTCCACTTGCTATATTTAAGAAGTAACTTAGACTTGAATTAAGTGTTCAGTATTACTTGATTGTAGATAGCACTTAATTTTCAGGCTTGGAACAGGAGGTAGACCTTTGCTAAGTGGCTTAATTACTTTTAAAGGTTTAAGAATTTTTATTACATTTACAACTGCCAAGAGTTTTTATGGGTTTTTTTTTCTAAAGCTGGTAATGCCTACCACTTCCTAGGCATTCACTGACTGCAATGTGACTCATCCCTAAGTTTCAGGAAGACTGAGAGCTGCCTTTGTACTGGTCATTTTGCAAGTGTGAGATTGTAGCTTTGACTCTGCTTAAGTGTCCAACTTAACCTATTGCTACATTTAGCTTAAGCCTTGTAGCATTCATATTGGTAAGTGGTTAATCCATCTATGTCATGAGGCAAGGGAGGATGGCTTCCAGAGAAATCTCTCCCTTGCATTTTTATCCCAGTTATTGGTGTAGCAGAAGCCAGTCTGCTTAAAGCTGCTGACTAGCAGCTGCTGGATTTTGGAAGAAAAGAGACTGCCTTAGTCTATCATTGGGCCAATTTCTCTTATCCAGCATTTTGTGACCTCCTGAGGTGCCAGGCAGTGTGACCTCATAACTAGTCCATTAGAGAACTCCCTTATAGAATTAAAAAAAAAAAACAAACAAACAAACCACCTTTTATTTAATAACAAAAAAACTCCAAACCAAAAAACCAAAACCACACCAACCATGAAAAGGCATGGGGGTGGGGGGTGCAGGGGTTGTACTTTTGGCTTTGAAGTTACATATACATTTTGGAAAGCAGAATGTGAAGATTATTTAATTTATTATTTAATTAACTCAGAAGTATTTGAGAATCATTACTGTTTTTTGCTATGTTATCTGATGTTTCTAAAACTAGAGGAGTTAGTTTTCAAATGTGACTTACAGCTGTTCACTGTGCTAAAAGAGAATGAAAGCTCAGTCAGCTACCTCATGCCACTGCCACTGCTGCCTTCTTTTTGAGACATGCTTGAAGTCTGAAAATGAGCTCACACATCTATCTAGACACCTCCCCCAGGACACCCCACCTATTTGATCAAGTACTCAAATGCAGCTTTAGTTAAGTGGCCTAAAACTGAGCTCATGCACAGGCTCCAGGCAGAGCTTTGGCAGGCCTGGTACCTGTGCTTGGAGTGGAAGAGCCATTGCATTATCCTCATTTGGCATAGCTTATTTAATCAATATTTAATGCAGCAATGTTGCTGCCACTGCCAGACACCTTCAGTTCCCTCACTTAGGGCTGACTTTTGGATATAGGCTTGTACTCTCCAACTCCTGCTTCAAGGTGCTGGGGTGGTGTCACTAAATACACTTTGTGAAATCACCTGTTTTGTGTGGGTGGGTTGTTTTTGTTTTGTTTTGTTAACAGTCCGGGAGGCCTGTGATTATTCAAAACTTCTGGAGACTGATAAACAGAGGAATTGGCCATACTACAAGAATCTCAAAGAGTGTTCTTCTTGTGGAGGATTTTGAAGACACAGATGTGGGAAACTATGTTTGTATAGCTCAGAACCTACAAGGAGAAACAACAGTAGCTACCCAAGTTGAACTGAAGTGATAGAAAAGACTTCTGGTTGTGGACTGACCCATATGTTATTTGACATTATAGCCATTAATTTTCTTTATTAATGTTTAAATGTAACTTCTCTCTCACTGTTTCTTTTATATGTCAGTGCATTTCATGTTGACTAGCTTGACAGGCCACAACAGAGTTCACTCTGTCCAGCAGTAGTGAGTTAGTGAAGCTACAAAGAAGCAGTAAAGCGTAAGTCTGAACATGCCTAGGGTGTGTGCATATTTGGAAACAGGTGCTCTTTGGGCTTTCCTTTGCATATGGTCTTTCCCTCAGACTCTTGCAGGAGGTCAGCCTGCTGTGTGGAACGTGCAATTTTAACATGAAGAGTACTGTACACGTTTAAAACAACAACAACAAAAAAGCAAACTAAAAAAGCCTTGTAACAAAGTTAGCCAATAGCAGTTGTTTATTTTGCAAGAATAATTAAATTTCTGAACATTATGAAAACATAAATGTGTATGTGCTCATTATCATATGTGTGTAAAGATAAACACAAAATTTTCTCTCCAGGTGAAGATGAATACCCTCTAGGACCTAAATATATATTTAATATCTCCTTAATATATATTTAATATCTAGTTGGGTATGCTCAATTTTCCTTATGTTGCTGCATTCTTACACCCTTACAACATGTAGCTTACTTAATAGTTCACTCCTCTTTAGATGTCTGGTGTTATGTTTAGTAAATTATGTAGCAAATTATGGTTGCTAAAGGTAAAACTTGCATTTATTTATATATTAGCATTTACATAACAAAAAAAAGAGGCAAAAAAAGCAAACATTAGAATACTGTTCAGTTTTACAGGAGAATTTCCTCTTAAGTTAATAACAAGTTCCACTTCATTGTATTAATTTACTTAGGAGAAAAGGAAAGATATTTTCATTTACACAGAACTATACCTGGATAAATAAGACACTGTTTTTATCACCCTGGGTTCAGTTACCAGTACAAAGAAAGAGCTTGCCAGAGGATAAGGTAAGAACTTGATAACAACATTGTTGGACATTTTGGCAATGTTTGATTTTTTTTCTTAGTCTCAAGCACCATCTTTATGTGGGCTAGAACTTTAAATACAAATCCACTCCTTAGTAGTGAAATGACAAAAAACATTTAATACAAGCCATGTTACAAGGCAAGTGAAAACCAGCTTATTCTGAACAGACAAGGAAGCAGAGCAGGAACTGGTCCCTTGGTCACACACTTCCCTGTTTCAGCCTGAGTTTGGAATTCCTGAAATTTTCTTCTGCTGAAGGCCTGAGGTAGCCCTGTGCTCCAGCTAATTCAGACCTTTGAGCAGATGTGTGCAGCACTGTTTGGATAGTGGCAGCTCTAAGTGCTAATGTAGAAATGGCAGATTCCCAATAAAATCAATGATCTGATTAGTAGAGTAGCTAATGAAAGCATTAGACAAGTTTGCTGAATGTGTTTTCTTCAGCATGTAGGAACCTAAACCAATTTAACTGATAAGAGAAATAGCTCCATGGTAAAGACTGAAATGGTTCCATGCCAGTTTCATGGAATAGCCTACATGAAGAACATTCCCCAGGAACTTTTTTTACCTCTGGCCTCTGAAAATAAGATATCTAAAAAAAAAAATTAAAACAGCATGCAATAGAACTGACTTTGAAGGTGTAAGAAGTGAGGTTAATCTGTTAAAATGTGTCAAGAACATTACACTGTAATCCAAAGGACTAAGTAGGTTATACAATTTCATAGTAATACCTAAAAAGCATCTTGTACTACTGTTTTAGGGAAAAAATTTCCTTGTATCATGTGGTTTTTTTTTATTCTGACCAAATTAACAATGTTTGACCTTCTAGATGAGGCTGTGCAATGTGTTAATTCCTTTTTAGCATTTTCATTCCTCAGAACAATGTCTTTCCCTTTGAACTAAAGGAGTTGTGCCAGCTTTTTGAATTTCAAAGTGCATTTGAGCCTGTAATTCAATAATTTATTTCTTTCTCAAAGTATCTGGGAAGTGGGAGATTGTGTCACCTGCCCACCCTTGTTCAACAGCACAGTGAAGGCATCACTTCCTTGATGACAATTTGGCAGGAAAAGATGGTGTAATTCCATTGCTTGAGTATTGCCCTGGGGTGTAATGGTTATGCCTAACCATCATGTGCAGGTCTCAAGCTGATACAGAAGCAGTGCCTCTAAGGAAGAGTTTTGGTGGGTGTCACATCCTGTCCATCCTTTTTGTCCTTGTCCTCCCACCAAGAATGAGAATAATTCTTGTAATTGAAAACTACGAGAATTCTTTTACTATGTATTTTACACAGATTTTATTTTACCAAAAGCGTCTTGGGCAGAGCTGATGTTACATTGATGCAGTTAATTGCACATTTCCACCTAAATGAACAGTGACAGGGGAAGAGAATGAGGCCTGGAAAATAAAATTTACGTGACTTGTCAAAGTTACATGCCTAAAGCTGCCAGTGCTGTTATTTCCATTTCCATACCTGTGTCACTGCTCTTCTAAGGCAAGGCAGCAGCAGTGGTCAGAAGGTATTTTTTTCTTCAGGGTTCAGTGGTTATCCCAACTTTATGATGACTGTTTTAGCTGCAGCTCAGCCCTAAATGATTTCCTGGCTGTCAGGCAAGATCAGTGGTTGATTACTGTCTAGAAGGAATTTCATGCATGAATTGCATGACACCAGTTTACATGGAAGTGTCTTTGGTGTTAGCAGTGAGAAACATCAAGACTTTAGTTACCTCAAGGAAATGATTCACTTCAACTTTTATAAAAAATACAGTATAACTCATACAATGACCTTTAGAGAAAAGCATTGAAGGTGAACCATACTATGAATACTTTGAATGGTAACAAACTATGTGGTACAGCTGTTAAATGTCACCATAGCTTCCTCTGAAACCCATCATTAGAGTTGGAACTGTAAAGTTGGAGAGTAAAGTTGGATATCTGAAGAAAATCACTTGTTCAATTGCTTGACCTTTGGCTTATGATGATGAGCAGGTTTCTAGCTTTTCCTGAAGAAACCTTATGCTAAAGGAAAAAACCCCAAATATGTAAAAGTTACTGGATTGAACAAAGTCTTTACTAACACATGGTACTTAAGTTAAAGCTTGAAATACTAATACTCAAACAGAGAAAAACATTGAAACAGTATTTACAGATTAGCAGAATTATTTAATTTGTTGAGACCAACAGGACAAATGCTAAACAGGTATTTCTGTAATCTGATTTCTACACACAAGCAGCCTTCATTTCTTCATAAAAGCATTAGTCTACTTGCAAGCAGTTTATAGACATGAAGAGTCACCTGTACTGTGGAGGTAAATTATCAACAAATTAACAGTCATTGTATTATCTCCTATACCATACTTACTTTTCTTGTAGGGTAGCCTGGAAAAGCTTTCCCTGCTCTTGCTACAGGAAGGGCTATGCCATATTTAACCTTCAAACATCTGTGTGCACTCTGCTTGCATGTTTTATTTGAGGCATTACACTGCAACTGAAGTAATAAAGTTCTTACTGGTGGCTAGGTAAGTGTCCTTGTGACAGGACCTGTTATACTGCTAACCTCTAACTGGGGCTTTTCTCACCCACAGAATGTTCTGAAGAATCACAAGCAACCTCCATAGATCTCCCACCTACCCATAGCTAGGCAGGTACCTATCCTACCCATAAATCTTCTACCCATATATCGAAGTGGAGGAACAAGGGGAAATTTTCTAAGGATAGCTGAATAATTTGTGCCATGAAGCTTCACCATTGTGGTTTTGCTGTGCAGAGCAGATACCAAGAGTTTTTAGTAAATGGAAAAATGTTCCTCAGATTAAAGATCCTTTGACTAACATAAGCAGAAGAAAAATCCTTCAGTTGGTAGAAAATATTTATTGTAAAGCATTCAGCTCAAATACATGCAATCAAATCTCTTTGACTGTAGAAAGTAAGAATGTTCTGAGACATACTTAAAGCCAAGTTGTAGCCAACATAGGATTTTCATAGTTAAATTTGAACCTCCTAGTAGACATTTTAAGTACTGACACCACTAATAAGTGGTATGTACAGTGCCCTAGAAAGGCTTAAAAGAAAGCATAATGTTGTTACCTAGAAATGGCAGCCTCAACTTGTACATTATGAGAGGTTTAAGTAAATTTAATGGTGAAAGAGTCAATCACAAGTTTAAATATATTACAAATTTACTTACTGTATGAGCACTGTTAACAGTGTTGTTTCTATGTCTGTGTTCCTCATTATTAGCCAAGATTTCGCAAGTCTTAGGTAAAATACTTTGAAGTGGTTCTCCAGTTGAGTTCCCTAAATGCTTTCCCATGCCCTTGATTCCTGTCCCCAAGCTACTGAAAAAGTCAGGGAAACTCAGCCAGCTATCAGCATGAGCTAACCAGCAGTGTAACAATGTCGTGGCCCTGCTGTGCAGCCCAAGCTACTGTAAGAATCAGTAGTATTTTCTAAGACTAATCTGAAGCTGAACCTGTTTTAATAGGTACAGAGCAGTCATCTTAAACAGGTCTGATCAAGGGTGGAGCCAGGCTATCCAATTACCCTGCTGAAGCCGAAACTCAGCATGTGGTATTTCCAGAAATGCTGACACTCTCATCCTCCAGTTCCAGCAGCCAGGACAACTTTTTCCCCTACTCTATGGAATCTCTTGAACAGGATTTTTCACCTGATGAACTATCAAAACACCAATATCCTGTAGTCTAAGAGGAAAAGTATGGCAGAATTAGCAAGGTAAAATACCTTCATCCTCAGGTGAATTTAGCTAACCCTGAGGAAAGTTAATATAAATGCTAATGATTAAAAAGGCAAGGTGTGTCACCAGCTATATTGGGATTCACAAATTACTTAATCTTCTTGAGAACTGAATTAAGAATGCACCTAGTTACAATTACTGCATTTCTCTTTGGCTTTCAAATCTACATCTTGTTTATCCTCAGGAACAGACATGCTATTTTGGGGAAATCAGTGCCTCCTTTTCAGCAGGTAAGATGCTAGGTCTAGGCTTCTAAACTTGCAACT